CCTTACGAATCAGCACTTCGACAAAACGGGCGAACACGGGACCCTGGAGGTTCTGTTCTGCAGCGTTTTTCCCATGCACAACGGCAAATTTGCCGGCGTGTTCTCATTGAACATGGACTTCTCCGGTGGCAGTGCCGGCTCAACTCGCCTTGCCTGCAAGAATGCCGCTGATGATGGGATTCATCTGCCGGCATCGACGCATTCTTCCCGACATGCTTATGACAGGGTTACGCCTTTCTCTTACCTACAGTATGACTTGGAGGACCTAGTAGAGCACCAGTTCGTGGCGGTTGTTGACAAGGCTCGTTCTCCGACTCGCGGATGGGTCGTCGCTGAGTTCTCCGACAGTTCAGACTCAGTGATCAGAGCTCATGTGGGCTTGGGAGGACTGCTCAGTGCTGGTGTCAAGATGCGACTGCCTGCAAATCGTCCTATGCTCACGGAGGTCAAGATCCCTGCTTTGCATTCAAGTCTGTTGAACTACAAGCTCAAGATCGTGCGACGCGGCCCGCGGCATCAGCAGGAGCTCTTCGCGCCGCTGTTGCGCCAGTCTATTCCGGACCCGCACGAGTCGAAATTCTTCGTCAATGTTCAGCATGTTCATGTCAACCTGCACGGCGTTGCGCCCTTTATGCCTCCCCCGCTTCGCGAACAGGCAGCACTGGGTGGAGTATCTTTCCAGCTGTGGACGGACCCAACTTGCGAGTCGTCGGTTGATATTTCTTTGGCAGTGGATATTCTAGGCAGCTTGGGTGAGCTCGTAATGCGCTACCGGACTGTTTTCGCGGCTTTTCCGGTTCTTGTCATCGCCCTTGTTCTTCGCAAACAGTTCCAGGTGTATAACGAAACCGGCTACTTCATCACCTTCCTCGAGGGCCTTGACAGCACCATACGATCATCCCTGCCCATCCTGCTGCTGGCGATGTCACTGCTGGCGTCCTCCCTGGCTACATCTAGCACCCTGCCGCCGCGCGACGAAATGTTCCACTGGCACACGAACGCCACCGAGACTCCAGTGGACTATACGAAGAATGACCTGCTATTGGGCTCTCAGGATGCCTTCTTCTGGTTTCTGGTACCCATCTTCGGCATGATTAGCGTGGGTGTTTGTGTCCTCATCAACTACGTCGCATTGTCTCTGCTTTCGGTATTCGCCTTCATATATGGTCTCCTGAACAGCCGGTCCGGTTATATTAAACGAGATGACAAGGGGTACGTTTTTGGGTTTTCTCTATCTAGATTTCCACTAATCAACGCAGAAATCTTTCCATGTTCTCTGCTCCTACGCCGAGACGGAGACTGATCAACACGGCTATCCTGCTCATTCTTGTCTCGACGGTTGTTCCTTACCAGTTTGCATACATGGTAGCTTGCATTGTGCAGCTAGCTACCTGTGTGCGCGCCCAATGGCACGCCAAAGAGACTGTAGGCCTTTCCAGCCCTATTTCTGAGCTGTTGCTGATCCTTCCCAGAACTCCACGACTCACTATAACTTTGCAAATTATACCTACTCGATCTTCTTGTTGATGCTCTGGATCCTTCCGATTAACATTCTTGTTCTGCTTGTCTGGGCGCACAACCTTGTGGTTCACTGGTTCATGCCCTTTTCTTCCCATCATAATGTGCTGTCCATCATGCCTTTTATCCTGCTTGTTGAGGCTATGACGACAGGAACCATGATCCCCCGAGTCACCACACGGTAAGGCCTATTGCAGCTACGTCTACGGGCAACCAAACTGATGAATCCAGGTTAAAAAACATCACCTCTGTTCTCCTCTTCGCCATCGCGGTATACTCGGCGGTGTACGGCGTGTCCTACGCCTACCTCCTGCACCATCTTACTAATATATTGGCTGGCTGGTTGGTCGTGATCTACCTGTTTGGCAGTGGCTTCTCGATCCGTCGACTGTGGCGGCTTGTGGACGGAGATGACGGGACGCCCGGCTCCGCGGAAGCCGGCAGTCACATGAAGAAAAAGCCATAATGGTATTCCTCATTAGATGTTTTTTTTTTTTTTGTTTTCTGTTGCATCATGTCGGTTGCCCTGTTGGGGGGCCATGATTATAAGGAGTTCAATTGTCGTCTGCTTTGGAGCGGTGTTGCGTGCTTTCGTGTCTGTCAGAATGACGGACGTCCAACATGTACAGGATTTGGTTTCTCACCGATCTGTTGACACAATGAGTCGTCTGTATATACGGTGGGGACTGGGATATAGACTCTAAGAGATAATACTAGTACGCAAATTCATGTGACTCATGGTTGTGTAGAGATGAGTTCGTGGGAGTACGGTACACCTGGCGGACCACATTGGCGGAAGTATGGAGTTGCAGGACACTTTTGTAGTATGTTTCTGTCGTTGTCAATTCTGATCGACGGAGATGAAGAAACCTCTCTGAGGAGAATCGGTATGGCTTCGCACCGAACGCTAGATCGAATGACTCGAAGAGCTTTGTGTCAACCTCCAGGACCTACCAATTCTAGACTCTTCTCCTCTCCTTCTCCGTGAGAAATCCAAACGCCAAGACCAATCGATGACTGAACCAGTCGACATCAAGCGGTGAGTTTTGGAAGCTTGGAAGTATACAAATCTGCCAAGAGATTAGATCGCCCGCCCGCCGCATCTCCAGCGTCAGCAAAACGGCATCAGTCACACAGCATCAGCACTGCTGCCATGACAAATCCAGACCAACCCAGCTCAATACTCCAAAACTTCCTCGATCATCTGAATTACTAAAGCATCAGATCTCACGACAGTAACCTGGGAAAATAAACCGCTATATCCGAAGCCCCCTCGGAGCAAGATCCTCAGTCTTCGGCATAGCCCCGCGGCATCGGAGTTAGACTTTTTTTTTTTTTAGTTCGTAGTTCTCGGAATTGAATAGACCCCATAGACCCCATAGACCCCCTCCTCCTTCGGACTGAAAATTTTAAAACCCAGAGGGAAAAGGGAAGCTCAACGTGCGACCCCACGTCATTTGTTTTAGGGGGTAGATCTGGAATATTATTGGGATCAGTCTGAAATGAATGTGAATGTGAATATGAATGTGATCGAGTCATAGGTAGTTGAGCATCGCCCCCCCACGCACATGCTTACCGCTCTACTGTATAGCAGTGGAACTGGAATCATCTGGGCTGGACCTTTGAGTCATCAGGGTGGATTGAGTTAACCTGATGGGTACATGTTACACGCATGTGGATGGCCGATCCCCACCAACCTTAACAGAGGTTATTATTCATAGCAGTCTTTCACTTCGGGTTAGGGAATAAGGATTCCGAATTAGGATCCCGATCTTGGGAGGACCTTGGCATATTTGGTAGGCGTGTCGATCATGGGGATGGATTGGATGTACTGTCTGTGGCTGGTATTTACTCTGCATGGCGTGCGGTTACTCTTGTTCGAGGGGTATACTCTGGCCATATGAAGAGTGTTGCTCGGAAGTAGGATAGAACTATATTGAGTGGGCTGTCAATTGTCTTCTACTCGTCAGAGGCATGCAATCTCTTAGATCTCAATCTACAGCTACAGCTACCGTCATAGCCACTACCACGATCCCTGAACCTACTTCCTGCGCATACGTATACTAATAGGCAGCCATAGCATCGGCATCAGCACCAGGCCAGGCAGACGCAGCTTTCGTTCACTTGTAGCGACGCGACATCCGACCACCACACGAAATACGAAGCCCCATCCACGGTTTGGCTCACAGCCTCATAGGCTCATACCCACTGACTCAATCTCTGTCGACTCCGATCCCGGTCCCATCTACCCCGATACAGACATCGTCATCATCATAGCCTTGGCCTAAGTGAGTCCTTAGTTTTAACATGTACTGTACGGTGTCGCGGGACTGGGACTAGACTTCGAGTGTCTCGTGTTTGTCCAGGACCAGGTCTGCTCCTTCCGCGCCCTTCGCGCCTTGGTATGTATGCACTGGATGCAAAGGGTGCAAATCAGAGATGGGCTGGTCTGGAGAAGGCGGGTTGTCAGCTTACTTGTATGTCTGTTGTATAGATCTATCTTGCAGAAGTATGGGGTTCGTATGTAGAGAGTTCATAGTCTATACATATACCGAGAACCACGATTCGATCATAATCTCAAATCTAGCCCAACCTTCTTACTCACTGACTTACCTCCCCCAAACTTTAGTCACTACGCACGTAGTAAACACAGCAAGCACACTGTATGAAAGGGCGTAGACCAAGCATGACACATCCACATCCCGCGCTCCACGCGCCCAACCCTCGGTACGTTCAACCTTCAATTCCCAAGCTCAAAGCCCAAAGCTCACCCTTCCCCCCAAAAATTAAAAAAAAAAAAACCTCCACCACAAAAGAAACTAAACCAAATCAGCACTCCGACCTCCGAAATTCTCGAATTCCTATTCGCGGCTGGCAGGGCTGGGCAGGTGTCTTGGCGCCTAGCCTAGCCCAGCCCAGCCTAAAACCGATGCAAGCAAGCCGTGTGCAGTGCAGGTGCTCGGGTTTATTCCGGCGCTCGGAGTAGATTCTCTGTTTTTTGCTGGAGGGGGTTCGGATTAGGCGTTGTATGACAGGTTCCATCCACACTGGAGTATACTACGTATTCCGGTAGGTGGGTGATTCATCGATACAGGAATAGAATTTTGGTTGGGGACCGTAGGGGTTACATACTATACATACTGTACAGAGGGGGGTTGTATATAAGGAACGTGATGGCCCTGTTGGTTTGAGGTATACTTTTTTGTTCATCTACATCTACATCTACATTCGATTACATTCTAGTATACTCGATTTCTATAATCCCTTCATTGAAGAGACATTGCAGCTGCCACCACCACCGCTACTATTACTATTGTTCTATTCTTCTGCTTGAGATCTCATATCGACGATACTATACTATACCCATACACCACACCAGCTGGTATACAACCACCAACCATCAACCACAACCACCACCACCACCACCACCACCAATAACCATACAAACGAACCCCCCTCCAGACAACCCAGAAACAATCAAAATGCCCTCCACAACCACAATGACCTCAACCACAACCCCCTCCCTCAGATCCACCACCTCAACCATCCACCCCGACCACGACGACGCAGCCTCCACCTCCAGCGTCTCCTCCACCGCCTCGACCCTCCGCTCCCTGAAGACAAAATACCTGGCCAAGATCAAGCCCGCGACGCCGGACTCCGAGTCCAAGGATCACGACAGCACCGCAGCCAAAAAGAAGACGACGAAGAAGGAGAAGGAGAAGACGCTCAAGCACACGCTCACGCAGACCCAGACGAAAGCCAGCAGCGCCAGCCCCCCCGTCAGGAAGGTCGATTATGAGACGTTGGGGACGTATCTTGCTCTGCGGTGATTACCGACTTTCTTGGCATGAGTTGGGGAAAGCAGAAAGAGAATACAGGTTGGGGGTTATGCTTCATGGGGCAGTGAGAAGGGTATGGCATGGGAGGATGATAATGAAGGACTTTGGAAGGAGCAAAACGAAAACCCCATTGGTGGGAAACTTATGTGGTATGATGACTAGTATATATCTTTTGTGACTTTTTTTCTGGCGTGATGTTCGTTTCTTCTTTCTTTTTTTTTTTGGAATATTGTCGGGAATAATGGTGGACTACCCCGTTGATTGATAAGATATTATGGTGTTTGCAAGCATCAACTAGATATTCGTTCGGTTGGAATGATGGAAATTACATACAATCTTTTCTGTCCATAATCTTGTCTTTCAAAGCAGTGGTGCCATGCTGGGGTTCCTATTCTTACCCATTTCTTCATCTGCCCTGAGCTTCGAGCTTCATCACTCTGATTCGCTCCTTGACCTGACATTCTTTTGCAGTTTATCGATCGGCGAGATCAGCCTCCTGCAGTCCCACTCCCAAACGCTGTGTTGAACAGAGCCGAATGTCAGGGGCATTCTCCCTCCAGGACGAGGATGGCGTAATCATCCAGTCTATCACCGACTGACTGGCTCGGATTGGCTGTCATGAACATGGCCTCTTGCTTTCTTGCTGCCTGCTGCCTTTGACACGACAGCTGGAAAGGGATTACGTCTCGGGTTAACAAACCCCACGCAGATACCTGCGAGTTCTTCGCTTGCGAAACACCGTAGTGCTATCAAACCCCAAACCCTTTACCAGTTCACATCGCTGAGCTGGAGCTTCCGGGACCGGAACGCCATCCGGTTACTGCCCGACTTGTCGACTCGGGTATCGCGATGGGGAGAGCGTTTCTCGGCAGCCGAGTCTAAGGAAAATTAGCATTGTACCACCAACAACCACCAAAAAAAAAAAAAAACACACCTTCGGAATTGGCATCGACTTCGTTCGTCATCTCGTAGTTCAGCACCAAACTCTTGATCCGCTGTTGCTCCTCCCGGTCCGCCTGCTGCTGGCTTCGCATCGCGACCGCGAAGCTGGAATCGGACGGCAGATCGATGGTGCGAGTCTGTGCGATTAGCATGTTTCTCCATTACTAGGCAAGTAAAAACCCACCTGCTGCTTGTTGCCCTTCTTCGTCATCAGCGAGAAAGCCATCGTGTTGATTGTGGGCTTGGGAGGCTCCGCCACGTTCACGTTCTCCGCCGCCGCCTCGCGACCGGACCGCTTCATCGGCAAAGGAATGTCGAACACGCCCTTGCGCTCGAACTTCCTCGACTCCATGCTCTCGGACATCATCTTCTCAAACTCGCGATCGAAGTCTGCTTCGGCCTCCGGGTCACGCTCCTCTTCTTGCCGCGTGACGAAGATCTGCTCATCCTCCGACTCGCTCTCACCGGTGTTCTCGGCGTTGGGACCAGACGCCTAGACTTGTTAGCACACGATCGGATACCGCACCGACAGAAAAACTGACCTCGGCTTCATCGCTGGACTCTTGGTCATCTTCTGCCTCAGGAATTGCATCCTCTTCCAGATCATCGTCCGAAGAACTGCTCTCGGCCTCCTCCTCCTCAATGTCCACAGGGCGTTCGGAATCCTGCAGCTTATAATTCTGCGCAACTGCCTCGCTGAAAACTTGCGTAGCTTCGGCAAGGTCAGCCGCCAGTTTCCACTGCGGACGAGCCATCGAGTACGTATCCTGAACAAGGAACTCAACGTCCATCGGCATCGGATCTTTGGTATGCATGTAGTACTGCTCCGGGTTAGTATCCAGCTCGGATCCACACAGAACAGATCATCGTACCTGGAAGAAATTGAGGAAGAAATCGAGCTTCTTCTTCGCGGACCCGCGGTCAAAGCAGTGGCCGCACGTGTCGAGCAGCGTGCAGACCAGACGAATGCGGAAAAAGTCATCAGGCAAGTCCAGCGGATTGACCTTCCCAGCTACTGGCGTTCCTCCTTCTAGGGACACATTAGAGATTCTCCTTTGACCGACCATGAATACAACTCACCGTGACCGAAGGTGACAATGCGATACAAGGTATCGAAGATGACAGGCGAGTCGATCATCTTGTAATTGTAGAGTTCTCCAAGATACTTGACTTCCGCAACTCGCTTCTGGTTGAACTTAAAGTCATTTTGCTCGAGACCCAGAGTGATCTGCTCGAGGACATTGTCCACAACCCCAATCACGAACTCCTGGTGATACCGATAGAGGGCGCTGACCAGGATCGCGAGCAAGTGGATGTTTCCATACTTGACCTTGACCGGTTTGCTGAAGACCTTCTCCAGGATGTCGATCACTTCACCTTCTTCCCAGTGTAGCTTGCGAATTGATTTCAGAATCTTAGTGTAGTTCCGCTTATTCATGTCCAGATATACGATCCGGCGGATGTAGGCTTCCATAGGTGTACGTTCCTTCTGCTGAATGGCAGGCCGGGGTGGCGGATCAACGTAGTAAATGGCGTTCTCGATAATCATCCGCTCCTGTTGACCAAGGTGTTGAACAGTCTTCTTTCGTCCCAGGGTCTCCAGGAAAGAGGCCATCCTCGGAGCTGTCTCCGGGTTGCGGAGTAAGTAACGACCGCAGTTCTCCAGCAGATAACCGATGATCTCGATGTTCATGCGCGAGAAGTCATCCAACGAGACCTTGAAGCAATGGAAGATGATATGCTCAGGCACCACGCCGAACTTGGTCAACTCCGCCAGGTACCGGACATTGCCCATGCGAACCTGCCCTAGGAACTCCTTCGACTTCCGGCGTTGAAGACTTCTGAACTCTTCATCAAGATACGTAGTCAAGCCCTGAGGAATGTCAGGCATGTATTGCCCGAGCGTAGCGACCAGGCGAGAGTACAGCGGCAGAAGATCGAGACGTCCCTTGGGAACATCAGACACCGCCTTGATGAGCCTGTTGCGCGACGCTTTCGAGTTAAGAAAGCAGAAATCCAAGGCCATCTGATCGACATGGTCCTTGGTTTGTAGATCGGGTAGTTTGGCAAGGAGAGCATCCACCTGGGCTCCTACAGTCTTGCTTGCAATGGCTGTAGATTGATCGTCGGCATCCGCATTCTTCTCCTCCGATACTTGAGTCTGAGCGGCGGACTCGGATTTCTCTGCGCCGGCCTCTTCGCCATCCCCTTTCTTCTTGGCTGGCTCTTCAGAATCAGGCTTCTTCTTTCTGGCATCCTCCAGTAGGACAGCTGGCACTTTGCCCTTGAGGTCAACCAGGTTCTCGTAGAAGCGCCGCTCTTCTTCGTCTTCCCAGATGCCGGCACCCTCACCCTGACCGCGCAGGTACTCCGTCGTCTTGACCAGTCCAATTCCTCCAGCCGATGCCGCATCGGGGTTTTCCTTCTCAGCTAGAGCCGGCATTTCCGCCCCGAGCGCCTCGCAAAGAACTTGAGTGTTGGCAACCAGTTTCTCCAGCGACTTGGTCTGCTTCTCGAAATTGGCCTGACGGTCCTCGAAGATCTCGCCACTTTTCACGTACGCCTCTGCATTGCGCCGGCTCTGAGCCGCCAATGCCCTCTGATCACGGACAACATGCGCCTTGACGTCCTCCAGGTACCGGTTCAGGATATGGCGGAAACGCAGCTGGAGTTTCTCCGGGATCAACGGGGGGTCGTTCTCTTCCGCCTCGCCCTCAGCACCCCCGCCATTGACCGCATCCCCCGAGGCGCCATTCGTGGTGGTCGTCGCGCCGTCCGCCTCGACCGTCTTCCGGCCTTCCTCCACCAACTTGGTCCCCAGCACATCCCAACTGAAGCTCTTCACAAACAGGACCGCCAGGGGGAGATTCAAGTGATCGCGATCATGGCCCAGGAGATCCTTGAGCACTTCCATGGGAAACGGCTCCGACTCCTTGTCACCGCCGCCGTCCCTGGTCGCCGAGAGCGGCGCCTTGTTGCTCTTCACGGGCCCGTCGGTCGCCTTCCCGACGACGCCAGCATCTTTCCCCTTGGTCGCCGCGGCCCCGAGGTCATCCGGGCGGTCAATGTCGTCCAGGGTGCGCAGCACGCCCACCAGCCAAAGCTCCGTGGCGACGCGCAGCAGCACGCGGTGGCGCGACAGGCGCTCCTTCTCCTCGCGCTCGCGCACCTCCTGGCTCAGGGCTTTGAGCTGCCCTTTGTCCGGGGTGCTGAGCCCGCGGCCCAGCAGCCATCCGATCTGGCGGGTGAACTCGCCGGGGCCGAACCGTTGGTGCAGGGCGCTGGCGATCTCGACCCCCGTGGCGATCTCGCCGGGCGACTTGAGCTTGCAGAGTCCTTCGTAACAGGCCGAGATGATCTCCGACAGGTACTTGTGGAGCGACAGAGTGCGGATGTCGGCGAGAAAGGTGGCCTGGGCGGAGGCGTTGATGCCCGTGCGGAGGCGCTTGATGAAGGCGGTGTTTTTCTTGAGGGCAGAATCGAGGGATTTGCCCACGGGGAAGACATCTGTGGTGTTGCAGCGAAGGAATTAGCGATAGGAATATCTCCGGGAAGCTGGGAAAGTGCGTGGTGTGTGGTTTTGTGTTTGTGCAGGGAGAAAGTGAAAAAGAAGTCGGAAGGAGGGCGTTGGTGCGTCATTGTCGGAGGAGGGAAAGGGTATGATTTTACCAGTCTCGCCAGCCCAGGCTCGCTCGTTCAGATCGCGGAGTTCCCCTGTAGGTAAACGAGATATGTTAGCTGGTCGTATCACACGCGAGAAACGCTGTTCTGGCGAGGTTTACGCTTTCGGTGACGATCCATGGCGTGGCCGCCGGTGCGATGTTCGCAGTTTATGTTGGGTGGGATGGATTTCAACTATCCAGAATTCCTTTCAGCGAGTGGGAAAGGAGGGCGCATAAGTGACTTGAACGCCACATTGGGGAGAATGAGAGGGAGAAAGTGACGCGCGCACTATTTTGGGGCGTCAAGGGAGAAATGAAATATTGCAAAGTTGAGAGTGGCTGACGAAAGTTGCAGTGAGTGACGGACCGAAGGCGGAGGAGGAGGAGGGCGGAGGGGAAGGAAGGAAAAGCGGCTTGGATGATCGTCTGTCTCTTTCTCCACTCACAGAGATCACTGGAGCGGACGACGGAGTATACAACAACCAATTCTTACTACTTTCTCTGCGCATAACTTTGTTGTTTTTCTTTATCATTGTTTTAAAGTCAGATAATCCATGACAGTGATCATACTCCTATGAATTAAAGTTAAACTCCCCCGGCCAGCGACATCATCCTGCAATCGTGCCCCGTATTTTTCCCCGCATCAGCAGCCAGTTCAGCATAGATTCATGGAAGCAATTGACCAGTGTTCAGCAGGTACAGCAGATGCAGTAGACTTTTGACTAAACTAACCGCTGCAATCTCCTCTCCCCTATCCACCTACATTGTGTGGACTAATCGCAAAGCCCGTCCATCCGCCAGAACCATTTCCTCACGCAATCCCATTGCTCAACCATCATCATCAAAAACATTATGATAATCACAAAAAACAGCACGGCCACCAGCTATCATAATCCTCGGTTGCCCATTCCCTTCACCACCCAATCCAACCTCCACGAACCCGATTAGTGAACCCCCGCCGGCGCCTCCGAGAATCCGGGCCTGTCCCCCTCCTCATCCTCCAGATCCAACAACCGAGTCTGCAGCTCATGCTTCTGGTCCTCGTTGCTCCAACTCTGCTGGCGAGCCACGGGTGGCTTCCAAGGTTTGTCTGCCCTTGTGCTAGTGGGACCCGCGGCTGCACCTAGATCAGCCCCGGAGGAGGAGGCGATACCGGAGTGGTCGGCTGAATTGTCTGTTGGGAACTGGATGACGTCTGAGTCAGGACGGTTGGTTCGAGATTTGTTGATGGACATTTTATGTGGTCTCTGCCTTGTGTAGTGGTTCAATGGGGATGCGGTAGGAGATGTCAAGGGAGGTAGGTAATTGTAGATGTGGAACGTTGTGGTCGGGTATTTCTCTTTGATAGGCGTGTTGGAAGTGAGCTGAGTGTAGGTGAGGGGGCTGGGGCGAGTTTGAAATACTTAAAAGAGGGAGGAGAGAGAGGGTTGCGCTTTTATGCAATGATAACACCACACTTCGGAATGACGTCTCCTGCGTGGCGGTGGCTTTGCTTCTTTTGTGAGACGATAAGAGACAAGGCGATGGCAAGGACGTTGTCTACCAGAAGAAAAGTTCTGGGATCTTTGAGAAGGAGAGCAGAGCAGACAAAAGAGGGGGGAGCAACTGGCCACCACCGATGGGGAGGAAATCAACGTCACTTCCCGGTCTAGAATGAGGGGAAGTAGCACAGAAAGAGGAGGTACGGGGAGGTACGGGGAGGTACGCGAAGCTACTCTATGGATCACCTTATTTTCACCACTAGAGCTTGTACCGTACATACTCTCGCCGAAGTTCGTATCGCCACATTATGCAATTATTCATTCATTCAATCAATCCTCACGCAAACCTTTGAGAAGTGCCTCTGCTCATCCATATACCGATAAGCCTCCTCGACCTCCTCAAACCCAAATACCCTCTCATCGATCGCCGGCTGGATCCGATGCTCCTCGATAAACCGATTCATCTCCTCAAACTGCTGTCTTGTGCCTAGCAGAACTCCTCTTACCGTACACAAGTTCACAAGACAGTCGATCAGAGTATTGACATTCGAGTCTGGGGCACCTCCCAGCAAACCCGTCATGGCAATCACCCCCTCCGGCCGCACGGCCTTCAGCGACTGGCTCGCAGTCGACAACCCACCCACGTCGACCACGAGATGCACACCCTTACCGTCCGGCGTCAACTGCCGCGCAGACTCTCCCCACTTGGGGTTACGACGGTAGTTGAGCACATGGTGCGCGCCGAGAGCTTGGAGGCGCTGTGCTTTGGTGTCGGAGCTGGTCGTGGCGATCACGGTGGCACCCGCTGCCAACGCGAACTATATAGCATTGAGGGTCAATTTATCGAGCAGCCCAGAGAACAGACAAGCAATTGGCAGACTAGAACGCGAGGGGAAAGAGAGTACCTGCAGAGCAATGACCGATACCCCACCTGTCCCCTGTACCAACACAACATCCCCCTTCCTCGGTGCACGCGACGACAGCCCAAAAAGCGCATTCCAGGCCGTCAACGCAGCGCACGTCAATGTACTTGCTTCTACAAACGACAGGCTGGACGGCATCTTCACCAGCGCCGTCTGATGGAACACGGCGTATGGACACAGCGTCCCGTCTACCCGCTGACCCAGCCCACTGCCGATGTCTGCGAAAGTGACCGGCTCGGATTCAGGCTTATGCGGCACCATGTATGTGCAGACTCGGTCCCCAGGTTGAAAGTCTTGCACTTGGGGCCCGACACTTTCGACGATGCCGGCACCGTCGGATGCAGCTACCACATTGGGGTTGATGACGAGGGAATGGGCTCCCTGAGCGGTCAAAAAGAATTCAGCTATCGATTGTCCGATGGCAGAGAGAAGGAACAAATCATATAAGGTGAACGACAGTGCATACCTTCGCGATGGCTAGGTCTCGGTGATTGAGCGATGCTGCGTGAATGCGCACCAAGACGTCATGGGAACCCAAGGAAGGGACGGATTTATCATGGATGAGTCTGAGACTTGAGAGACCTTGCTGGCCTTTAAGGATCCAGGCCTGGGAGGCGTGCATTCTGGCTTTCGAGGATGTTTCGGAATGTGACTTGGGAAGCAGTACGCAGTTAACGGGACTCGAGAAATACGACGACTCTCATAAACGGGGGGAACCCGCATGAAACAATTTTGCAGCCATTGGGATCGAAGGACCAAAACCAGGAGAAACCTGGATCCGAATGGAAGCTGGCGCGCTGGCTGCACATTTTCGAGTCTGCCATTGCCATGATGTGGGGACCTTGAATCATGCTGATGTGTCGGGAAGCCAGCACCAAAATAGCTGCACGACTCAATGGATTCCATGGCCGAAGTCTAGAGCCAGAATTGACCAATCCGAGGACGGGCAGTGGAGATTAACCGTTGACCCGGGCGGAGGTCCGGACGCATTTGTTGGGCGGCTTGCAGCAGTTTGACCCACAACAGAGGGTTTCATCTCTCCACCCCCAAGTCTACGTGGGTGAGGGCAACAATGCCGTGCAATCCATTATTCGCGGGCGCATCAAGGTAGACTAGAAGAGCAGCGAGCTCGAGCTCTTCGTTCACCGCAACCGCGGCGACCAGCGCCGTCCAACTACCCCAAGTTGATGTCGTCACCTGCAAACCGAACGAGAGGTAGTCGGGTCACGCTTGAGGCTTTAAGCGAAGCCGTCTTCGCAGCATCCAGTGATATGTCGGTGACAGTCAGCGACACCTGCGATTCACGGAACTGGCCTAGAAGGTGATCGATACCGGCATGTACGGCAACGCCTTGAGCGTCTGCTGGGCTGTGTCTGACCGGCGAGCCATCCCACCGACGAGACGGCCCGTGTCAGCCTGGTCATCGACGAGGACTGGGCTTTGTCGTCACGAGCGGCATCATTCCGGGCAGAGTCTACACGCACAGCGGGGATGTTTCTGCGTTTGTTCCGGATAGGATGACTGCGGCGCATGAAGCTCAGGATGTGTGATACGAGGAAATGGTAGCCAATGCTACTTTGCCTGCGCTGCCGCCTATGAAGGCTACGGGGGATACCCTTGAGGTGCTACAAATATACGGCGGTCAACGTCAGGCCATGCAGAGTAATGTCCATTGGAAATTGGTACGATGACTTGACCAGTGCGGCTCCCTATGCCCCCCCGGCGAGTGGAAGACGACCGACACGCAGTATCATGTTGCCTCTAGATCCGATGCAGAAGTCTGGCAATGAACACGACAGCGAGCACATCCTGGAGCTTCAGGCAATTCCCGTATTCTTCCAGTATTTGACTGCTCAAAAGTTAGCCTCGGATCAGCAGGCCACTTTCCACCTCTTGATACATCCCGAGGGGGCGATAACAGGCTGCATGAGGATCTTCTTCTTAAGACGTTCTTGTACACTGGTGACTCCCACGACCTAGATCTCGCCAAGAAGCTCCAATATCAAGTCATGTCAACCCTCGGTAGCAACAGGAACAAGGAAAACCCCTATGTCCTGCCGAATGCCAACGGGATGAAATCAAGGGTCCTCCGAAAAATGTCGCCGTGGTGGATGAAACAAACTGGCCAAAATCTGTGGCTGACACAAGGCAGCTAGTGCGGTCTGGGATTATCTCAATGACCTCGAAGTGAAGGGTTCGTTTGTGGGGTATTGTCATCAATGCTCGAGCAGTTTACGAGCATCTGGATGAAAGAATGGACAACATCCATGGTGAAACAACAGCGTTTGCAGGCGCCCCGGAAGGAATGGTGGAATGACTATCTCGACTGTCAGGTGGAGCGCAGTCCAGCACCATGGTTTCGCCCCACGCCTCCCGCCAATACAAGAGAGCGTGCTTAGCCTCCCGTCTTCGTGATTCTCTTGCTCCAATCCGTTCCGTCTTCTGGTCTTCATTTCAATAACAAAATGCCGGTGAGCTTTGATAGCCTTCCTACGGAATGACTGTTTGCCATGGCTATCCTTAATGCATCCGCTCTTCATGAGCTCAAAGTTACAATTCCTCTCCGGGACTTTCTTCGCAGAAATCCACGCCTCTCGGGTGTGTCTACCCTACCTACGCAGGTCCAAGTAACGGTACATGCATATGCCCCGCATTCATGAGTAATTGTCAGTGTTGAAGATTCTGTGTCGAGTGGGATTGCCCATCCATGTAGGTGGATCTCGCGGCGCTTGGGTGTTAGAGTAGCCTGGACCGAGTGGAATGGCAAGATAACCCACCCTTCTCACTTCGAAGCTATGCATCTGTCCAGCATCTTCGAGAACCTCAACCACTTCCCTATCGGTGAAGCGCACAGCGCAATGTACAGGTGTGCCCCCATTCTGTACAGGCAGTTTTCAGATCAAGATCCTCTTTAGCAAGGAGAAGTCTTGTCTTAAGAACTGGATCTGATATGCTCGGAACAAGAGTCTTGCTAAATAGAGCTGGATTCCACCTTTGCCCCGGATCCAGTACAGTGCAAATGTTCTGTCAAAACCAGGCGGTGGTGAAAACGAAAGAACATCGAATAAGGTGACCTGTAATTGATATGGAACGGCACAGTGTCGTACAGTTCACGAAAGTTGGTCCGGCCCTCGGCATCCCCTGCCAAAAAGGCCTATCGAGTACGACCTGGGTATATACGAAAAACGCCAAGATAATAGCTAGATTGTTACCAGAGCTAAAATCCTAAGAGTTGCTACACACGGCTCTGCTTCCCTTAGCAAGTTTGATCTGTACCCCAGAAGTCCGGGTCATCCCAATGGGAGTCCGGTCCCACGCAATACGTCACCCCCGTCTTCAAATTCCCATCACAATCACCGCCGCCGCCGCCGGACAGCGAGGGGTTGGATGCCTGGAAGAGGCTGGCCGGGATGGCCTGCTTGACGCAGATGGCTGCGCAGGTGTCCCCCTCCTGGGCGGTGTACCATTTCCCACAGTAGCAGGTTGTGCCATTGGCCACGGTCGCTCCCGCCGGCGCATATGTGAGGGCCTGGGTGTAACCGTTGCTGATCCCGGGGGCGAGAGATGCGCTGCCGGTGGCGTTGTGGCTGCCGCCCTGGGGGGAGAGGCAAATGACGCTGCCGTGGATCCAGCGGGTGCTTTGGAGGTTGGTGCACTTGCCGTTGATCCAGGGGTTGTACTTGCGCACGTCGCCGGATTGGAGGAGAGACTGTTGGGCCCGGAAGATCGAGTAGCAGGTGTCGTCATCCTGGAGGGTGTAGAGGGTGTCACAGCTGAAGGGGATGCACAGCTCGCGGCCGGCGATCAGCTCGCGGCAGTCGTTGACGAGGGCTGGGTTCCCGATCTGGATGGCCGCCGAGGCGACCGAGTATTGTGTGGCCAGGCTGTCGCATGTGTCGCCTTCCACCGTGATGTGCGTGACACCGGAGGCGCAGAACGGCGGCTCGGCTTCCTCCGTCGTCGTCGTCGTCGTCCACAGAGGGTCATGGAGCTCGGTGGCTCCCGAGAGACCGCATTGCTGGTGGACGAGCTCGAGCCCGTCCTTGTCATCTTCCGTATAGGCCGCATATGGGCTGGTCTGGCGCATCTGGAGGGAGGTTGTGAAGCAGTAAGAGCACATCTCCGCGGAGGGCATGGCCGCGACGCTGTCCACCAAGGTGAAGTGTGTGAGGACATCCGGGCAGTATTCCCCTGTCGAAAGATCCCGGAGACAAGTCAGATTGTAGCCCGCGTACAGGTAGCCGCCGGCCGCCGTGGGGTCGGTATCGTCGATCGTCTGGTCCGCGCAGTTGCTGGAGACGTTGTCCATCCAGCTTTGGAGAGACGTGCTGCAGCCATGGTCACAGACGTCATCGGCCATCGTGCTGTTCTCAATGTACTGACCGATTCCCGGGTTTTGGTAGCTCGCCTGCAGCCAGGGGTGACAGAAGATCTTCTGCGATAAGGCGGTCTTGCACGTGTCGGTGAGCCCGTCCAGCCAGGCAGGCTCATACAGCTGGAATCCGGGGAACTTTCTCGCCCCAATCGTGGCATTTCCCTCACGGACCCAGGCGAGGATGGACGACATGAACCCATTCACATTGTCGGGGGCTTTGGTCGGGATCTCGTTGTGGGCGCTGACCATCTCCACTATCCCCTTCGTCACGATGTTATACACCCATGTATCCGTACTCTCTTCGATCTCCACTGCTCGTTGCTGGCAATCGCCGGTGTCCAGACAACTCTGGCTGTACGCGGAAAACCAACTATAAAGGCCTATGTATTTTTGTGATGATTAGCTAGAATCACATCCTGTGGTTCAAGTTGGAGGATGGAGAACTCACCTGCGCCCATGGAGTAGATGGACGACGAATCGAGAATCCTGAGCGCCCAAGATACGGGACATAGCGAGGAGCCCGCGATGCAGTCCGAAAAGGTAGGGTCGTTGGGAAACAGCCCGGGGGTGAAAGGACTCGGTGCAGGAGGAATGTACTGGAAGTATGGGGACTCGGTTTGGATCATGCCCAGGTAGAGGTCTTTTGCCTGAGAAACTTGATATTGGTACAGCACGTTGTGTTCGGAGGCAGTTCCGTAGAGCCAGGTAGGACCCTGACTCTCAATAAGCACCCCGCGTGCAGAATACACATCAATCTGATCTTGCGTCTGAACGTCCAAGTCATGATCCGCCGTCCAGAGCCAAATGTTCGACAGATACGCCGAGGACTGAGGCGTGAGATGGAGCATCAATGATGCTGCTACACAGCCAGGGTTCGCGAACCCCAACCCTTTCGGGCATTGACTGGCTTGCAAGTCTGAGCCAATTGCTCCGCCAACTCGGAAATGAGAATCTAACCAACATTCAAGAGTCAGTAGCGCGATTCACTGCGCTGGGAAGAGATGAGGGATCTACGTACCCCACATGCCTGTCGAGCCTTGGAGAGTTTGACGAACGTTCCATTCCACCAGCACCACTCCAGCCGTCGGTCCAGCGACAGTGAACATCAAGCTTTGGATCTCGACGATGCCTTTATCGCCAGGACGCCCCACTTGTACCGCAACGCGTGGGCTTCGTTCATCTTGGAACTTGGGTCCCGTGGCCATGATCTGAGACCACACTTGGCCTATAATGCGCGAGTTGATAGGAACATGCAGCGTGTCCGTGATGACATAGACTCCGTAGGGGAAGAAGACAATTGAGGACATATTCGCCGCCCGATCCAGGATACTGTTCAAGACCGCCGTATCATCGGTTTTGCCGTCCCCCGCTGCGCCCCAGGCTTTGACGTTGATCACTTGACTCATACCAATGTCCCTGTAGGTAGGGCGGTCTCGGATGAAGATATTCGGAATGACATAACTGTAAGTATCCGTCAAAGCGGCACTGCGGGTCATGCTGGGAATGTCCTGGCCGTTGTAGAACGTGCTGTTGGTGCTGGAGGTCGCAACCCTTCCGAAGCCCCAGGAAACCACCTTCTTATAGTAGCCGCCAGCCATCAGCGTCTGGTCCTGCGCGGTGTCTCGGATGGCAACCTCCACGTTGAGAAAGGCCGCATTTTGGAGCAGGAAGGAAGTTGAGTTCTCGGACTGGAGAGTAGTCACGATGCCTGTCTGGGTGTTTGTGATCACAGCATCGACCAGAATCAAGGAACCAACAGATTGTCCCGTGCTTTTTGGGCCTCCGGCCTGATTCCAGTTACACAAGCTTTAGCTGAGCACTGTGCCAATTCAAGACAAAAATGTATCGAGAAGGGAGAGCTTACCCCACCGACTATCACAACACCGTTGGTACAGTTGTCAATGAAAATGTCTTGCATCGTCCAAGCCCAGTCCCAGTGTACCTGCAAGGCAGTCTTGCAGTTCAAGAACGTCATATGGGTTGTGGTGAATTGCTGATTCCCAAAGTATGCCCTGTAAGGATCATGTCAGCCAGATTTGCAAAAGAAAATCAACCATGGGCGTTCCAGCACCATACCCAAAGTTGCCACCCACAAAGGTTAAGTTCGTGAGAAATCCTCCGCTGCCGTTCTCCATGTAAATTCCCTGGGTCCGTGCTTAGTCTCTGCGTCCTCTGCTTGGAATCTGTTCACTGCGGCCATCTTACCTGCTGTGTGGTGACCCCGTCTTGCATCATATAAAACTCGATGTTTTCCAGGGACGTCCCTTGGGCGACCTGCCAGTGAATGGCACAGACATATGCATTGGGATCGGTCCGAGTAATATCCATTCGGAAATTCCGAATCGATCTCAGGAAATTGTTCTGGTTGACGTACCACTCCGTATCGTCGCCGATATAAACATCCGACGTGATCACTCCCAGACCCACGAAACTGGACGCTGCCAGGATGGTGGGATAATCAAAAGGCTAGACCAGGTGTCAGCAGAGCATGAGGGGTACGGGGCTCACATCTTACTCACGTTTCCATAAAACTCGGTATTGTAGTACTGAATAATGGGCGAGCTAACCAGATACGTCCCCGAGGGGAAATAGACAAAGGCAGGATAGATGGTGCTGGAGCCACAGTTCACTCCACACCGGTTTCCGTCCGAGATGGCCTTATTGATAGCCGCAGTGTCGTCGGTGATCCCATCACCTTCCACGCCCCCATTAGTACCTACAGAGGTGCTTTCGTAAAAATCGGGAAGTGTTTGTCTTACCTTTGGCCCCGTAGTCCATAACATTTCTCCAGACCTAGGTGTAATGTTAGCACAGAATCATTTCGAGGCAAGACTGTTTTTTTAAAAATCGGCGCCACTCGCCTTATAGCCTTCCGGTGCAAAGGGACTGGATCCGGTATCGCCCATGGCTGTGAGCCAGAATTCGTTACCGGCCGAGGAGCGCTTTCGCAGCTCAACGTGCGGCTTCTCCGGGGAGTCATCCCCTGAGGGGACACTGGGGATATAACTACCGTCAAGGCCATTCGGCCGCTGGTGTTTCTGTTTGGGCACGTTGGTATCATTGTTCTTGTAAGGTCGGTACTGGGCGACGATGGCCGCGATATCGACGCCATAGTCCGTAGGGAGGGGCTGAGGGGAGGCCTCGGCTACCAAGCGCGCCGCTTCGACCAGCTCCGGGGGGATTGTATACGTATATTTCTGATCACCTTCTTCGCTGCTTCGCTTGGTTGCATTCAGCCTGGCGTGGAGGGAAGCGTCTGCCGCCATCGCACCGCTCTCATAGTCCAGGGCTGGCGCCATCTCGCCATCCCGCGGTGCAGCGTCGGACTTGAACTTATACTCGTTCCACTGGGGGTTCGCAAGTCGTCCTGGATTCATGACCGCCAGAGCTTCCTGGGCTTTCCTGACCATGAGCTCGGCCTCCGACAAGCCGCTCAAGGAAGGCGAGGGCGTTGAGGCGGGAAGAGCCCTTGAACTGGACACACCCAGTGCGCTATTCCAATGCCCTCGGTTGTGATGATGGTGGAACCGCTCGTGGCCATGATGGCTTGCTACACAGGTAGAAACCAGAAGAATGAGGAGTGCACATGATAAGAAGAAGCGTCGCACGAGCGCAGGATGCGAGGGCCCAGAGGGTTGAGCCATGCCACAGTATGCAGGAGCTGAGTCGATCTTTAACTGGCAAGCCTGACAAGATGGAGACTTTCATGGGAATATATCACTTTCGGCTACATCTACATTGTGTCCGTATTTCGGAGTACCTTGCCACCCCCCCCCCCCTTTTTTTTTTTTTTTTTCCCTTCAAAATCCCTCATCTGATGGGAAGCACGAAGGGGGAGATGTGGATTCTGTGGATTCTCTCGCTAGTTGAGATGGTATTCACGGAGCTATATCCTGTATCGACTGCACAATTACTGGCGTTACCGTTGGTCATGCATGACCCAACAACGACACGATGGTCCTTCAAGGAGCAACAAGACTAGCTGTAGTTGAGAAGCCCCTTTTCGTTGTGTGTCTCGAATAAGTCGCCATCCCGGCGTGGATACCACGAACATTTAGCCGTTAGAAACTTCCTGAGTTGGAACTGAATTGGGTTTCTCGACCCATGTCTACTCATCGGAGTACAGCTGCAAAGGAGGATTATGTCTCACTCAAAGCGCACTTGAGCGTGGTGATTGGCTTAGGGCTGAGTACTAGACGAGGGCCCGTAGGGCAGACTCAATCGGGTTGACCGATACCATATACAGTAATGTGACATTTCCCCGATTTGACTCTAGCTTTGGAAACTGTTCTCCGGGATACCCGGACTAGGGGTTTTTGAACCAAGCTGGACTCACCGTCAGGGACAAACCCAGGCTTGGCACTTGGCAGCAGATAAAGGGTCTGACTAGTGGTGTGCACAGAGCCATTGACGACTCGACATCATGACGCTAGACTCAATAGTTTCATTTAGCAGCATTTAGCGGGTACTGCTTGGCATTAACTTTCTTGGCGCACCCCCGGACGTCCTTGGCAATCTGTGAAGCGAACCTGTAATTTACGGTTCTTGTTTTGTTTTTTACGAAGTCATTGTATCCGACAAGTTCAAGGTCTCTGAGTGAAGTGGCAAGTGGACATGTGAAGATATGCTCCGACTAAGCATATGGTCAAGTATTCGGTATATATGGGTAGCGCCTCCGCCTACCAAGAACGTAGCTTTATCAGATGTGCAATACTTCGTTCATGAACGTCTCTATCATCTCGAGCTTGGGAACTAGCGTCGGACGTCGGACTGCTTCCGCGCTCGTTCGAGACCCCTGGTTGAGAAACGTGTCTCTATCTCCAAGAACTATACTGAACCCACATTCATTGTATTGAGAAGGACGGCAAGGGTGGTATGGTGGTATGGTGGTATGGCCAGTGAGGACCCGCAATGGAACAGCTTCGTTAGCGAAGTTCCTCGCCTGGCTCTCGGACTATGCGAACATATTGGGGAAGCTCCTAGGAGGGGCATAAATAACGTAGAAAATAAACGTATATATAATGCTTGGCCTGGTCTACTTTCGGTAATCAAGAAAGAAATTTTGTTCAGCTTACTTGACCTAGAAACAGCCCTGACCGAGTCCAGGTTCGGTCTGTGAAGGCGTGTACTATGAGTGGGTATAAGGGCTTCAGGGGTTCAGCCCTTGGTAGCCTTGTGTTTCTCCTGTTTTGCATCTTGGTGCAAGTACTTGCACAGGACTGCAGCGCCTCGAATCCTTGCGCTACAGGATGCTGCTCGAAGTATGCCTCTATCCCTCATCTTGCATTACACAATCTGACCGTGGGTCGTTCTTATAATCTAGACATGGCTATTGTGGAACCGGGGAAGATTATTGTGTAAGTCATTGTCCCCATTAATGGTGAAAGGTCATGGAGATTGCGAGATTCACCTATGTGAGAGGCTCATTGATCTACCTCAGAGACTTGCGTTTACTGCCTACAAATTGACCTTCGCAATTTCTCTAGGGAGCGGACTGTGTTGCCAACTGTGACTATGAATCCAAGGCACAGTGCAGTGCAACTAAGCCCTGTGCAGAGGGCTGTTGCTCCAAATTCGGCATCTGCGGTTATGGCCCCGACTGTAAGGCATAACTACCACCGCTCACTGCCCCACGAGATGCGATGCTGACTCTATTGAACCTCCTCCCTCGCAGACTGCAGTAAGGACAACTGTGTTTCTTCTTGTGGACAACTGTCCGAGTGTGACCCTGGAGACTGGGGATCAGAGTTCGCAAACTCTACAACCTGCCCCTTAAATGTTTGCTGTAGCAAATATGGTTTCTGTGGAACGACCGAGGAGTTCTGCGGCGAGAAAAAGGTCAAGCGACCATCTTGCGGTACCAGTGGGAAGACCGGAAAGCTCCAACGCGTTGTGGGCTACTATGAGGGCTGGGCCTTCAAGAGGGTCTGCCAGGCCTTCTGGCCGGAGCAGATCCCCAGCGGAGTGTATACACACCTCAACTATGCTTTCGCAACAATCGATCCGGACACCTTCGAGGTTCTCCCGCCTACCGCCTTGGAGGCGGGTATGATGAAAAGATTGACCTCGTTGAAGCAGGACGACGCCGGTCTCCGTGTGAACATCGCAATCGGCGGGTGGAGCTTCAACGATCCAGGTGCAACAGCCTCCATTTTCACCGAGCTTGCGGCTTCGGAGGCGAACCAGCGGAAGTTTTTCAAGTCTTTGACCTCTTTTCTGGCCACCTACGACTTCGATGGGGTGGATATCGACTGGGAGTATCCGGTCGACAGCGATCGTGGTGGACTGGAGGCAGACTTCAAGAACTTTCCTCGCTTCATGTCGAACTTGAAAAGTGCATTGAAGGGAACCGGTGGCCGTGATGAACTGAGTCTGACGCTTCCCACATCCTACTGGTATCTCAGACACTTCGATATCAAGTCTCTCGCCAAGAGCGTGGATTACTTCAACTACATGTCCTACGATCTCCATGGCACTTGGGACAGAGGTACGGAGTCTGCATGTGTTTTTGTAGTCTTAAAGATCTCGGTACTGACCTCTGTACAGGGAACAAATGGACTGGAGACTTTCTCGATGCGCATACCAATTTGACCGAGCTCACCGAGAGCTTGGACCTACTGTGGCGGAACGACATATCTCCGGACAAAGTGGTCATGGGGATCGCCTTCTACTCTCGAGCGTTTACCGTGGCGGACACTAACTGCATGTGAGTGGTCTTTATGGGCCTGTTCAACATCCAGCCAACTGTCAAATAGTGAACTAACGCGGTGTGATAACAGGACTCCGGGATGTCGGTTTGCTTCTGGGTCGGATGCAGGCCCCTGCAGCGCCCAAACAGGAATTCTGCTGAATAGTGAGCTCGACGACATAAGGGCTAACAAGAGTCTGGCGCCGACCTTGGACAAAGAGGCCGCGGTCCAGATTGTCACATGGGATAATCAATGGGCAACCTACGATGATGAAACCACCTTCAAGTTGCGCACCGAGTTCGCCAAGAAGACCTGCCTAGGCGGCGTCATGGTGTGGGCTGTCAGCCATGACACCTACGACGGGTCTTATTCGCGTGCTCTGGCCGGGATCTCCCCGCGGAGCAATCAATTCAAAGCACTTACTGTCTCCAGCGACGGGCTGACCGTCACCGAAGATGAGAGAGTCAGGCAATGCAAATGGACCAACTGCGGTCAGACCTGTCCAGACGACTACGTCGCCGTCTCACGCTCAGACCCGGGATACAGAAAAGGCGAGCTGATGATGGATTCGATCGACTGCCCCAAGGGGTCGGCCCACACCCTATGCTGCCCCAAGGAGGAAACGCCAAAATGTGGGTGGTATACTCATAACAACGGCAACTGCAAGTCAGACTGTCCCTCGGGCTACTTTGAGATTGGGTCCATTTCACAGGGGCTGTGCCATGAAAGTTATGAAGCAGCGTGCTGCGAGTCCAACATGCCGTCCACCAAACTCTATAACACGGTCCAGTGGTCTACTTACCCGAAGTGTGATGACGGAGAGTGCCCAGTGGTCGATGACAAGAAATCGGACATCCTGGCCCTGGCCACCACCGGAAGTGGCGATGCCCAGTGCTACTTCCGAACCTTGGAGACCTACTATGGCTACGGACCAGTGAGTGCGACCTTGCAGGAGCGAAAGCTGTGCTACGATTCGAGCCAAGACAAGATGGCGTGGGAGGACTGCGATTGGTACGACTCGGTGGACAGCCCGCCCAAGGGGAAGCCCAAGGATTACTGCGTCAATTCTTGTCCTGCAGATACGGTGCGACTGGCAACATACAAGCTCGATGAGAACTGCAATGGCGGAACTCGTGCATTCTGTTGCAACGACCAATACTACGTCTCCAAAAGCCGCACGAACCCTGAGATTGCGGATTTCCGCACCGCCCTGAACAACTATCTAGTCGATGGGTCGTGCTCGCTGGGCACGGGGGCAAGTTTGGGTCGCAGAGACATGACCAAGGAGGATTATCTGACGTACCTGACTCCGCTGACTTGGAAGCTGATCAAGATGCAGGCGGATGCCCTAAATGCCGAGGAAAAGGTCCTGGCGGCCGCCTGGGATACTTGGGCCAAGGCCAACAAGTGGGCTGGGCTCGTACTGAGCACATTGAGACCATATGCGCAGCAATCACGACTGGCCAAGGATATGTCTGGGGAGTATCTTGCGCAAAGCATCCTCTGCCGGCCCCAGGACTGGAGTGATCTGGCACAGAAGAAGCCCCTTTCAGCGTGCTTTGGTGATCCTTGTGATGAAGACGCTGATCCCGAGTTATGCCAAGCTGCCGATATGGACGCCCAATTTGTCGAGGACGATGAGGAAGAGGAAGAAGCGGGAATCGTGGATAAACGATCCCGCAGTGGTCTGGTGAAACGGAGTGATCCCAAAAAGTTCAAGGTCTGGTGTCGCGCGACCATGCAATGGTTCGATGGTCTGTCAATCTCGGCTCCAGGGTATCCCCAGGCGGGGGCCTGGACGCCGACCGACACGCCATTCCAGGAGGCCCGGACGTATCAGGACCCAAATGACTGCGCTAATCCTCTGCTAGATCCAATACAGAAGACTGGCGACCATCATGACACGGAGCACGTACTTGAGCTTCAAGTAATTCCCAAGTTCTTCCAGGATTTCACCTTTGGACGGTTAGTCTCGGGTCAACAGCCCACGTTCAACCCTGCCGATTGCAACTTGTTCCTTCCTACAGCTCTTGGAGGTATGGATATCCTGCATCAACAGCTCTTAGATCAGGTTGAGCTGTACCATGGTGACTACTACCGTCCTTTACTCGCCAGAAGACCACAATTCCGAATCATGTCGGCCCTCGGCACCTCCAAGAACAAGGCCAACTTCTATCTCCTGGAACGCAAGGTCAACGGGATGAAAATGAGGGTCTTCAGAAACGTCGCCTTGGTGGAAAGCGGGAAGTGGAAGAATTTCGTGGATGACACCACCCAACCGGGGGTTGCCCTGCAAGAGCTCAAGGCAGCGATTGCGGTGTGGGATTATCTCAACGACGCCCAGGTAAAGCAGTCGTTTGTGGAGATTGTCGAAAACGTGGGAGCGGTCTTCCAGCACCTGGATGCAAAGATAAAAGAGAACCTCAAGGTCCAAACCCAGTTTGCCGACGCCTGGGATGAATGGTGGTATGATTATATCGACTATCAGGTGGATCGTAGTTTCACTTGGATCACCAAGGGAATTGCAGACATGCGTCGCGTGTGGAACAATGAGCCCGTCACCAATCCGCTCAAACTGCAGGTCCTCAGTGACGTGAACCAATTGGAGGGATGGGCGGACGCCATTGTGATCTATGGTCGTCATGTTTTTACCACATAATCTAGGTGTGTGTACATAGATGGGAATCGATGAGGAGAAAGTGTAAATATATTATGTGGATATAACTACTAAGTATCATCTCTGTAGTTAGTAGAGTAAGGTAGTTGACTAGGCCATCTACTGCTGAGTCGGTAGGTACTATACCTAGTAGTTTGATCACTATTCTAAATCACACTATATCATCTCTAAGCGAGGAAGAAGACTCAAGTCAGACGGGAGAATGGAAGTAGTAGTTGGCTGGGCTGGCGAGGAGTTGATTCGGCCTACACCAACCCAAAAAGGTTTCGTTCTCGTGAAAGGATGAACTAACCACACGTTTGGACGTGCGTGGTGATTACATAGATCAATAAGTAATAAACAGAATCTATTTGAGATAGAAAGTGGTCAAGCAAGCAAAAGGGCTCATGCCCTGATGGTATCATAATAATACCAAGATGAGGGCTGTCGAACGTCATCTAAGAACACGGCAGCGAGCAGTGAAATATGCTGTATTAAGCCATAGTTAACATACTGCAGGTAGAATGGACTCTACCAAGAATATTTACAAGCAACTGTGCACGTCGTACCTTTGCGCATACTTGTTACTAAGTTAAGTTATGAGTCATATGCACTTCGTAAGCACTTTTGTTAATAAGTGAGTGCCCTTGTGAGTAAAGCACATTTATTGGTATAATTCACGTCTACTTGTAGACTACTAGTAATATAACATATTGGTTAATTTTAGAGACATAGTCAAGCCTAATTAGGAAAGAAGACTACAAGTCGAATGGTGTATATGTTACTTGATTATTCGAGACGGAAGTACAGGTCCACTATGGGATGCAAAGTAATATTCTACCTTACAGTACTGTACTGTACTGTACCGTAAGGTAAAATATCCCCCACTGGGCACCATACACCCACCTCGCGGCCTATAAGAATGTTCTTTCCCTTCCCTCCTTCTTCCGCTCTTCTCGTCCACAGATCAACCAAATCATGGTGACCATCGATAGCCTGCCCGAAGAACTTCGAAGACAAATCTCCCTCCTGGTGAGTAAGGAAATCCTACACCAGATACAATCAGTTTCCTGGTGAAACACTAAAAAGCGCTGCAGGTCCTTAACCATTCCTGGCATGATTTGTCTGCCCTAAGCCAAGCCAGTCGGACTTGGCACAATGTTGCGGCTCCTCAGCTGTATCTGGACCTACGCATCAAGTTCCACGATCTGGCAAGCTTGCAACATGACGTCTCTGAGTTTTACACCAATGGCCTTGGGCGGCAGTACCTGCGTTATACCCGCACACTCGATCTTGTTTGTCTAGAAAAACCATCGTGGATAATGACTCAAAAAGCCAAAGATCTCTGGAAGCAGAAAAATTGGTATAATAAATTTATCAGCTTCAAGCCGCGAGCTGTGGAGGACGGCTTTCTCTCCAAGAGTCTAACTGAACTGCATGACAAGGAACTCCTCTTTCTCCGGGAGACGGTTGACGAGTACCCACAGAACGAGTGGGAACCTATCCTCGCTCTGATCGGGCGGCTCCAGCATCTTCGCGCTTTTAACTATGTGGTGGTGAACACATTCCCCACGGTTATCCTCAACGCACTCCAACAGTCCCACCCCACTTGTCGCCTGAATATCTGGACCTCCCAATGTCCTTCTATCGATATTGATGGTCTAGGACGCTCCTGTAAGCTGGTGAGGAAGGAGGCTCGAAGGCCATTTGATCTCCGCATCCTACGCGCGCCGACACTCCACACTCTGAATGTAGTTTACACGATGGGGTTGCAGCTGCGGGAATGGCGATGGATACACCTCGACGAGCCCATGCCACTCATCTTCACCGCCCCCAATTTAAAGCATTTGATCATCGACGACAAACGCGAAGGCCGTGACAATCCAATCGAGATAGTAAAGGAGGAGTGGGAAGACTTTATCTCCTTCTACAGCAAGCTTGTCCCAGTTGCCCCGACCACCCATTTCCTCGAGTCCCTGAGTTTCCGAAGTGACGGTGCCGGGTTGGCTCAGGAGCAGATCCTACTGCGCGTCTCCACCATGACCGACCTATCTCGACTACGGTCGCTAGAGATCGGGGTCTATTCGGAGCCAGAGCTATTGGCGCAAGCAGCTGCGCGATTGACCGGACTAGAACGGCTGTACATCAAGATGGTCCCGCGGGCCATTGGGATCGATCGTGGAGTCTCTCCAGACCGCGAAGAGATGATTGCCGCCGTGCGGGCTTTCCGCCCGTTGAAATACCTCCGCTTGATCAGCCTGCGGAGCTTCTCATCTCTCGATCGGATTGTCTCGCACCACGGCCGGGCACTGAAAGGGCTGAGCTTGGAGGCCTCGTACCGCCAACGAGAGCAACCTGACAAAGAGGGCCACAAGTACCCCGTTAATGACGGCGAGCAGCTCCGGTACCTGGCTCGACTCTGCCCCGAGCTGGAAGAACTCCATCTCCCGCTGCTGCGCACGGGTGGCGATGCCCGCGAGTGCGATCTGTACCGGGCCATCGGCCAGTGGAGCCATCTCCGTCAGGTCGTTCTTGACTTGGACTGCGATCCGCGGGTTGCTGGGGTGGCCGATGAAAGAGACGTTCTGAGTGACCTCACGTGTCTTCGGGAGATCCTCCACAACGCTGCCATCGACGAGGCGCTTGCCGCAGGCATCTTCAAGCTCATGTGTTCCGGCCAGGCAAACGAATCGCTCGAGCAGCTCCGCATCAATCTCTTGTCGCTTGGGATCATCTTCCCCCAGTCACTGGTCAACGTCCTCCGGCAAATTAGTCAGTCGTTCCTTGTCACCCGGCCTGGGTTACCGCCAACTGCGGAACTGCAGGTCCAAGCGGTTGGGACCGTCGCGTGGCAGCTGTGGCGTGAATGGTCTCTCAATGACTACCCGTCCATCCGGACTCCGACGCCGGTCCAACAGATACTGGAGGAGTGGTGGCCGCTTGACTCGGATCGAAATCGCAGTAAGAGCTGGGAGGAGATGCCGTTGCTGGTCAAGAGTTTTCCTTTGGAGGCTGGTATTGTCGCAGAAGGAGAAGCATCGGAGACGCAAGCGGCTGAGTAGAAACTACCATCTGATCGTCATGTGCAGTACTTAGTCGTCTTGTGACGGAGGCTTGAATGCCTCTCATATCTAATATACCGCTAGGCTCTATACCTACTCGTCCAACTGAAAAGCTTAATAGCTGCAATATTGCCATCATCAAGCCGAGCCATGAGCCCATTTGCTCGATCAATGGCCTTCCATCGGAAACACCTTCATTTCCTTAGTTCTTGATGCCTTACACAAAACTTTCTGTTCAGAGATGTGTGCGATCCCTTCTTCATACGAGGATCAATCCTTTTCGTCGGCGAGCGTAGACCATAATATCTCTTCTCCTCACCAGCCCAGCCAACTACCATTGCATCCAACCAGTGCGCTGCAATCACCACCAGTCCATTCCCACGAATCGACCTTTTCTTTATCCAGGTTTTTTTCTTGGTAGAATGAGATGATACCTGACGATTGACCTCAGATCTGCTGGTGCTCGATATGTGGATTTTCTGACATTCTGTCATTGCCCACTTTGGTGCATGGATTGCATTTACTTTTTCTTTTCTTTCCTCGCCTTTTCTTTTCTTTTGCTTCTCTGGATCAATCAGACAAAAGAAGCTTAGTCAGGAATCCTCAAATATAGGATTATCGAGTCAAATCTCTATTTGAAACTGGAAATAGGTATACTGTGGACTAGCGCTGTCGCTACCACCTACTGTCTATACACGAAGGTGAAAGACCGTACATACATTACTTTTACTGCAGAGCAACAACCGAAACCCCACCGGTCCCCTGTACCCACACTACGTCCCCCCTCTTCGGTGCGCGCGCGCGATAACAGCCCGAACAGTACATAGTATGGGCATGCCGATATACCAGGGAGCCCGCATTTGAAAAGGCTGCACGACTCACAGGATCTGACTCGCCAAAGTTCAGAGCAGATATCAACCAGGCTTGGGGTGACCGTTGGCCTGGCTTGCAGCAGGCTGACCCACCACAGCACAGCAAAGATCCTTCTCCATCTCTTCCACCATCAGGCGTACCTAGGCACACGTGCCAGAGAGCGCCACCTTTCCGGAGCAAGCTAACACGAACTTCCCACTCCATTTCACTAGGCATCTTGCAAAAGGAATACCAGATGACGTTCGCGTGGAGTTTTTATGGTAATGGCGCAAAGGGATCGCTGTCCTTCACCAGACGTAGACATGACTATCGAAAACCAACACAATGCGACTCATCATCGCTCGCGGTCTTGTACAACGGTATTATCTGTAAGACAAAGCTCGTCTCAGGGCTACGACAGCACCAGCATCTGCAGAAGACTATATCTTTGAGCATGGTTGGAAATGGGAATCCTGTGGTAGAACGGTTCGCATATACCCCAACCCCAGTAAGGCACAGTGTGCAGCGGGGAGAAACCCCCTCATTTTTAGAAGGTCAATCTAGATTCAATTCTCTTGAGACCGAAATGCCAAGTTTGTGAATTGTCGAGTTGAACAATCCAGAGTTGTTATAACTGCGCCCTGAGGTTCCAGGTCGGTGGTCGGTGGTTGGTGGTAGACAGGAAAGGGAAGACTCATGCAGTACCCCCTAGGTAGGTGGCCAGGTGGCCTGGTTTGATTTTAGCAACGCCTGTGGCACATTAGAATATGCTACCGGGTGTTTTCGAAAAGAAAAAAAAAAAAAAAAACAAAAAAAAGAGAAGAAAAAGTCTTGAATCAAGCTTAATCTACTTTAAAACTTCTACTTTCTAAGATGAAAATCAGAAACCTGAAGACCCCCAACTGCCGAAAATCAAGGTTGATGCACGCACGTGGTGCTGTACCATGCATGCCCCAGTAATAGTATAAGCATCCTCCAGCCAATCAAAGTGAAGCATATCTGTACAGTCCCAAATAGCACTTTCCTATTGGTCGGGCTGCAACTATACCGGCCTTGTCAAAACAGAACACAACAAACAACTGAATCAATCTCGCAATAACCATTGTACTTACTCTGCTCCTGTCAATAGACACTTATTGATATTTGTATTAAGGTTATCATATCTCAATCGTACTAAATCTGAAGCGAACTCTTTGACCAAACTACCGAGTCATAAGCTACATAACAGTTATACAGAAATAATACTCTTCCCTACATCGTAATCACTATGTCACTCTTCCCCCCTTGTTGGTTTTCCTTTTGGATTAGGCCCTCCATGTACATGCTATACACGCCCACATTTTACCGATGCTCCCCCCCTTGCCTTGAACAAGCCACCAGCTGAGTACTAGTCCTCCCACCCTCCGGATCACACGTCTCGGACGGCCTTTATCTACTCTAACATCTGCAAACCCAGAGCCCTTGCGAAACTATATCGAGCCCCAAGTTGCTATCATACAAGTGACGAGAGCCTATTTTGTCTAAATTGATTACAGTAAGGAGACACATAACCCCAGATCTACACGAATCCCCATCTCAATACATAACACGCGAGCCTCATTATCAACTAAGCTTTTGTTCCATAGAAACCTTTATGTAACATACAATTCATCAGAGGATAGCATGGTGTCTGGATGCGAACAAGAAAGACAGAACCACACCACAGAGAACGTTGCCAAAACAGTGGAAAGACCGTTTGAATCCTGACATCTCAAAAAGTCATCCATCCATCACAAGAACCGCACGGGCTATTCCTCAACGGTTGAGCGGGACCATCAACATCCACACACATCACCAAACAGAAGACAAAGGAAAAGAAAGAAAAACCGCCGTCATCATACACCTTCATCAAACATAAAATAAACAGGGTATGCCCACGCCAACGCTATGCGAGTCCTTGTACAGAAACAAAAAAAAAAACAGGGGGAAGAGGGTGGGGGAAAGGAAAGAGTCAAGCAGAGCAAGATATGTACCAGGAAATCAAAGAAGGAAAGTATTCTTGGATAATATATGATTCTTTCTTATTTATTTCGGCTTGCGCCAGAAGTATTGCTAGAGAGGATCAGTCAGCTGGGGTCGCTTTCAATCAAATGCAAGGGTCATTCATACCTTATGCTGCTTGCGGCAGTTCCGGAGGCCCGGTTTCCGGAGATCATGAACGACGGCCTCCCGTCGCATATCGTCCTCATCAAAGTCCGGGATATAGTAGTATTCACTCTCCAGGGCCTTCCCCGCGGCATCCTTTCCCTCACGAGCAACTTTGCCAATGCACTTCGTGGTATCCAGAATCGCACGAATCTCTTCTCTCGTAGGACCCTGTCTCGAGTGACTGTCCCGCTTCCATAGGGCTGGAGGGAGGTTGTTGAGGATGGTAGAGAAGGGCGTCGAGGAAAGACGGGAGAAAGCCAGCTGGTTGACAGCGTGGTTCTGAACGCGTTCACCGCTTTCATCAAGCGGCTGTGGCTTGACCGGTGTGGCCTCCTCCTGATTATCGTCATCGGCAGCGGACTCTACGGTCTTGGTTGGTTGTTTCGGGGATTTGGCGTGCTCATGGCCCTGGGACGAGAGCTGATTGCGTGGACGAGCAGGTTGCAGTGGGGACTCGTCCGCTGTGAAAGATGCCATCCGGGGTAGGAGGTTCTCGCCGAACGGTCCAAAAGAATGAATGATAGGGTCATTCTCCTCATCGTGATCCGAAAAGTCATCCTGTCTACTCAGGTCGCTCAGATCACTCGACTGTGAGCTCTGCAGAAGGTCCTCCACACTGGAAGACGACGTCTGGGTATCATCGGCAAGCAACGACCCGGGGGATACGGGGCGGCGAACAGGCGAGCCCTCATCTTCGTACACAACCACAGCGTTCCGCGAGCGTGTCGGGGTATACAGAGGGGAGGATGGCGGCACCAGAGACTTTACGGCAGGCGAGGGTGAGACCGGGGATGCCAGGCGTTGGCGTTCGACAGCAGGGCTGTCATGAATACTCCGACATGATTGTCCCTTGCGTTGTTTAGGCGTGGTTTCCTCTTCCCAAGTCTGCTCTGAATCGGTGGAGGTATAGTCCTTCTTATCATTCCGAGGCCACTGGACAAGAACGCGAGCCTCGTGGACGTCGATCATGATGTCAGCGTCCTTGATATCCGAGGTGAAAGTCTTGCCCTTGCCCAAGTCGTAGGTTTTCCCCTGGCAGTGTAACTTGATTCCGTTCCAACCTAGACACATAATCTCCACCGTATCACGGTCGAACGGGTTAGGGGCCGGCTTATATCGGGCTTTGACATGGACCCTTGAAATCATCCGGTTGGCCGCAAGTTGGTGATGGCACGAGGCACTGGATCTACCCATCAAGACCGGTTCACCACTCTCCGGCAGCATCAATTCGGGGACGGTGGACAGAGGGCTCCGTTCCGAGGTCGATGTAAATGTACGTCGAGAGGCCGGACGCGGCAGAGCCATTCGGGGAGGGGAGGAGGACATGATATGGGTCGACGAGGTCGGGACTGGAGTGGGATAGGTGGAAACGATGCCATGGTCTTCGCGTGCTACACGCTTCTGTGGTCGGGGCAGCGACGGGGACGAGCTCAATGGCTCGAAAGCAGGCAATAGGGCCGCCGGACGCTTGATACCTGCCACAGGAGCAGCCGTACTGCTCCTTGGCGGCGAAGACTCCATGCTGACAGACTTGTCCTTCGCGTCGTACACGTCTGGGACGAAGCTAAAGTAATTAAGATTATGTCACTCGAGAAGCTGCAGAGGGATTGAGTTAAAGATCCCACAGATCAGTTGGAGACCTATCTGGTCGCGTCGAGGACGAGTAGGAGGAAGAGGAGGGAGAGAGGGGGGGTCTCTATGTTCTATAGGAGTGGAAGATAGCGATTGGGAGGTGACGAGATGGTTTCGTGCAGACCAGACCAGAAGGAAGTAGTTGAGTAGACGCGGAGACAGAAGCGTGTCAAGGACGGGCAAAGGAAGGGAAGGAGCACTGAGGGTTCATCTGCCCCAAGACGAAAGGGTACAGGAGGCTGGTCGGGCTTCGAGGAGGGAGGAGGAGGAGGAGGGGGGGTTGAGCACAGAATGTTTTGACCGTAGGGGAAAAAACGAGAAACATTGAAGAAAAGGGTGAAAGGAAGTGTGGTGTGTGGTGTGTGGTGTGTGGTGGAATGTCTGCCCCGGAACGGAGCGTCTCGTCCTTCCAGCGCGGAAATGCACGCTTACAGTCCGAGACGCGTTCGATAGGCGCCGGCGAGAGTCTCAGAGCTCCACCACCACCGAGCTTCGCGCAGCAGCAGCCTTGAATTGCATTGACAGCGCATGGTTGGTATTTATAAATTGGGGGGGGGAAGAACAGGGAGAAAAAGTGGCCAGGCCCTGGAATGACCACGGCCTGCAGTTAGTTGTCTGTCACTCTCTCTTTGCTTCTACTTAAATTCAAATCTCTCTGCGGATTGTTGTTGATTTGTTTCAAGGCAAGGGATGAGCCTGAGTTCGGAGCCTCGACACCCCAGGCAGTCAAGGCGCGTCGCTCACTCGAACCAGAGAACGCGTAGCACGTGATAACGTGTCACGTGAACGCGTGGCGCCTTGCCTCGTCGGTGGCACGCTAGTCTGCCTCCGGACTAGTCACGCCAAGGGCTGTCAGTGACTGAATTATTGATGACCTCAACAGTCATTGAACACCAGTACTTACAATCCAAGCATACCTGAACCAATTCAGCCTTGAAACCTTGACGTCTTGCACAACTCCCTGACATGTACTAAAACCTGCTTGCGCCTCCGCTGATCACCCTCCAGCCTCTGGTCCCAACTCTAGGGAAAGGTCATGACGGTGCTTCCCTCTCTTCACATTTCAATGACGAAAATGACAAAATAAATGCCGACCTATCTTCGCCCCCAACCATATGAAATATTCCCAGCCCCCCTCTTCCCTCTCACCAACCATCATCCAAGCACTTGAAAAGGACATGGTCTCTCCTTGGCCCTTGGAAATCCAGCCCAATGCTCAATGGCATTGAAGTACACCGTCCTACAGACCAGAGCTCACATCCCAGCCCGAGAGCAGATGCACATGCAAGTGCAATCTATGCGTCTACTAGCCCAACACCACCTACTTGTGACTTGATAGTAAACTCCCCACAACTTCCAGATTAGCTAATCAAACAATTACTCTCAGAATCCCATGCAGAATTCTTTCTTTCAGCCAGCAAATCCCCAAAGAGACTCCACCCAAATAAGATACTGCACAAAATAGAGCACACAGAGAAAAGACCCCCGATAGAAGTAGTCGTCCGCATAGTCCACACCGACAGACCACACACCCAACCTCCCCAAGATCGGGGATCCACTCATGCAATGCACATTCCAGAACATTTTAGCCTAGATCCAGTCGACCGTGCATGACACAGGTGGAGATGCCGCCGGGGAATGTAAAAAGTAGGTTTAAATGTGTTGTTTATCCTGTCCAGTCTCCATCCGCCACTGAAGATACCCAAGGAAGAAGAAGGAAAAAAAGTAAAGAAAAAAAGTAAAAAAAAGAAAACCTCGAGCCTACTTCAGCCATTGATTGATCTATATCTTCTGTGAATCGGCCGAAGAACCAGATCCACCGAGCAAGATTTTTAGAGTTTCAAGTTTCTGGATCTTGGTGGTCGGCATCAAGGTTCGCCGTGGTGAATGCTACTGCTGAATCGTCGGGGGACTCAGAATGCTGTGGGCACTGCAGCAATACATGCCGATACCCGGCCCCCGAAGCCCGGGGGAGATATCCACATAGGATTCAAGCAATCGGTAGGGGATGCAGTGAACAGAAGCCGAAGTGGCAAGGGTAGACCGGTCGAGCCGTCTTGCTCCCCTTCGAAATCTTGTTCAATAATCAAGGACAATATTTAGAGGAAATGGACGGGAATAACTCTTGCAGAGCTATGAAAATCATCAAAGTGAATTAGTGGGTCATTTCGATCTGAACAACATGAAAAAGAAGTGGCACCACTGTACAGGATATCGCTAAATTACATCCCATCCTCCACAGAGATGAGAAGAAACTCCGCGGTAATCAATTAGGAAAATCAGTGTTACTTCAGGTCGAGAAAAAGTAAAAAAGCTAACCACAACCGCCCCCCAAACAGAGGAAGGGTGACGTTACAAATGTGACAGGTGTTGCAAGCTTTCCCACGTCACATAAGTATGAGATACTAAGATACACGAAGAAAGCAAGCACACTGAACGGTGAATCATGATCAAGGGCGGAACAGAGGCATGAAAAAAAGGTCTTCTATTTGCAATTGTGCCTTTGTCGGAGTACGAAAAGGTCGTGGCAAGCCGAAGCCGGCACTTGGCGACAGAGGCTACCACGGAGAATTATCCACTTTAGTAAAAGACATAGGTGGCGGAGCCAGAGACGACCTCGACCTGCGGGCAGATTTAACATTAGCAATCAGGCCAGGGACCTCCAAGGAGAAAGGAACCAAAGCAAGGGCTGGGGAACACTCACAGTGCAGCCGGAGTCGTTGGTGCCAGACTCGGAATAGAAAACACCATCCTCATACTTGCAAGAACCGCTCAGGTTGTCACCCTCAATCTTGACATTGTAGTCGAGCTTCTCGGTAGTGGTAGGGCTGTTCTGGAAGATGGACAGCCACTTGCCGTCGTTGACACCGACACCAAGGTTGATAGGGGCCCAGTTGCCGATGGCCTCGGAGCCGTTACCCCACTGGCAGCCCTTCTCGGTGGAAACACCCTTGGGGTTGACGTAGTACTGAGCAGAGGTGACCTTGCCCTCCCACTTGTAGTAGGTCTCGCCGTCAGGGCAAGTCAGGGGCTGGAGGGTGTTGTCGCCAAGGTGAAGAGGAATGGTTTCGGACTCGGTACCTATTAATTGTCAATTAAGGAGGTGTCCATGTACTGTGGGCTGACGCAAGACACTTACCAGGATAATCAGTACGGCAAACAGCAACACTCTCACCGAGCGTGTTCTGAACGTGGACACCGCCAGTACCCTCAATGCAAAGCTTCTTGGACAAGGAAGTGTTGGTAAGGTAGAGCTTGCCGTTCTTGCACTGGACACCACCAACGGACTGTCCGGTAGATCCCTGGGTGCTGGGCCACTGGGACTTCTGATAACCCGCGGGGCAGGCGTAAGAGCACATGGCGCCGCTGGTACAGCTATCACCGGAGACACCAGTGGTGATCTCAGTCACGACGCTGCCGGAGACCGTCACGTACTGGATACCGGACCAGCCGCCAAGTCCAAGGTAATCGAGGGCGATAGCACCGTAGTCGGAGGGGAAGGTATCGCAGTCCAATTCTCCATCAGGGAAGTCCGCATCCAAGCCGGTGGCGGTGGAAGAGCTAGAGCTGCTAGCCGAGCTGGAAGAAGCGGAGCTGGAAGCAGCGGCGGTGGAAGAGTGAGCGCTGCTGCTGGAGCTCCAAGAGCTGCTGGAGGAAGTAGCCTTGGCGACAGCGACTTCAACGAACTCGGCAACGGAGCTGAGAGCAGGAGCCGCAGTGGTGGAAGTGGAAGTCGAGGCAGCGGTAGTCGAAGAGCTGCTAGCGCCGTTGCAGACATCAGGAACGTCCTGACCAGAGGCCCAGGTCAAGGTCTTGTCGGCGATACCCTTGCAGACATCCTCGAGAGTGATAGTCTTGCCGTCGAGAACGTAAGTGACCACAGTAGGACCAGCAACGGTGACAACCTCGGACTCAGGGTTGCGCTTATGGTGGTGGCGGTGCTGGTGGTGGTGCTGAGCAGCCACCAAGGAGGCCGTGGCCAAGCTAGCAGCAACGGTGTTCAACTTCATTGTTGTAGTGTCGTGTGTTGCACAGATGCACAGCGGGGTATCGTGTTAGGAAATCGATGAACTCTGTATATACCATGAAAGAATACCACATTAGTATGTTGGTCAAACGATCATCGATGATCATGTCCAGCCGATTCCCTGTGCCAGGCATGAGGATCGCCTTGATCCCCGCCTTTCACCAGGCATATTAGGGATCATGAAGACCCGCGATGCGACTCATCAAGTGGAGTTCCATGCGGCCACCGCCCACGTCGCGCGAGCACTCACTCATGAACATGCGGGTCATAGGAGGGGGAGTGAAGTATAACAATGAATAGTGGTAACCTACCGCAACGTCACGGCAAACCAGTCGCGCGCTCTTAACAGAAAGTAACAAATCTGTACACGAATTGAAGGCGCAGCGATTGAATATGAGAGGGTCAACGAGTGGAAAGTGAGAAGAAAAGGAGGTTCCCTAAAAGAGCGTGCGAGAGAGAAGCTAGTCCCTCTGGTCGGACAGGAAGTTCTCGCGTGGGTAACAGGCGAAAGCCGGAGGGGAAAATGAAACGCTCAGGGAAGGCGAAGAAATTGAGGAGGGTCGCGAAGAGGGAGGAAGAGGAGAGAAAAGGGAACTGGAAGGGGAGATGAAGGTAAGCGGTTAGTTTCGATCCAGTTTGAACCAGGGGTTGAGTGAGAATGGAAAAGGGAAAGGAGGGGGACAACAAGACACTAAAGCGTGCGCGCAGGCGCTTTTTTTTTTCTTCCAGGGGTTAAACTAAAAAGCAAAAGAGTGTAGTGGTGTGTGGCACTTTGGCCGTGGAGAAGAGAAGTGTGAGAGAGTGGACAGGCCAAAAGAAAGGCAATAATATTACACTAGTCGGCATCGTTGGTGATAATAATAATGGGGGTGGAAAAGAAAAATAATATTAATATTAGGGGGGCCCACATGGTTAGTGTCCGGTCATGATTCAATACTCGGATATTACATTTCCAGTATTTGGACTGTATTCAGTTTGATTGTGATCCTGGGCTATTATAATATGCTCATAGGTACGGTATACTTCATCCTTATACAAAATTCGTTTAGATAAGGTAAACTGTGATCTCAAGAATGTATAAGGCACATTCCGGTATGTGCCTTCCCCCTGATGACAGGAGATCCCCAAAGATCCCAGAGATCCCACAGGAATTTGATGACATTCTATACCTTGAGTGGCCTTCAGACAACAAATAGGGGGCGGTAAGTACTCCGTAGGAAACTCTCCTTCCCCCAAGCCAAGTCCGCCAGGATCAGCTCGCTCAGAGAAAGACCATCCACAGGACCACAAGGCAACGTGAAGCCAGGAAGTGGGGATTTGGGCGGAGGGAGAAAGAGAGAGCCAAGACTTGAGATGACTGTCTGGAACAAATCCAACAACTCCAACAGGTGTTGGTGACCGAACTTGGGGAGGATTCACAGGCATTCGCAGGCCGGGCATTAATTCCTTGCCTATTTTTCTTCCACCGCAAGCACTGCATGTTTGGAGCTTTCCTGTTCCTGACACTCAGTTTTGCTTGGCGGTTACCGAAATTAATTAGACCTCCCAGCCAATCGAGGGGGAGATTCGGCCCTCAGCCGGTGGAAATCAGACTTTGTCCCCAGTCAGGCACACCAATCATCGGCTGAGGCGCTGCCGAACCATTGCCACAAATCGGCCTACCATGGGAATGTCTCATGTCCGATCTTAATGTTGGCCTGCATTAGTGGGCGCAGTCGGCCTGGCGGCAGGAAAACTGGAAGGGAAGAAAGTGTTAGGTATTCAGCAGGTCAGACATCCAGGACAACAACAGAATCAACAACATCCACAAACATTCGCACTGCCTTATGTGTTGTTCTTAGATTGTTGTTCATTGTACTGTACTAGCCAGGGTCCATCATGGATATCATCGAATCCTTTCATAGTTGGCAGGCACAGAGCGCTTCGGGTAGTGATGTAACTAACCCCTCCCCAATATTCTGGGTCTTCAACTGTTTCAGCCTTCGGCAACCCCAACCTTCAGTATTTGTTCTGTAACGCATTACCCATGACCACCGTCGTACTCTCAACTCTTTCAGAGCCAAGCAAGTTTAACCAGCTACTTGATGGATCTGCACAGTGCGCGAGTCTGGCCGAAAAGGGGCCCTTTGATCGTTGATATTTTTAACCCTTTCTCAAGCCGACCGACCCTTAAGCCCTTATGCTCGGTGTTATAGCCCATCTGCGGAGCCCCTGCAGCCGTTGTTAAACACCCTGCAAGTGAGATGATCAGGATCCCTGGCGACCGATCCGAGGCACTTTACATGTCATACGTTAAGATCGTCAACAACACCAAGTGGCTGAAAATAAGTATGAGTAAGATTCCCCATTTATAGTAGAGATCAATTATACTTCACAGCATTACTCCAAGACATTGTCGATGCCTTCGATTATGGTGATAAGGTATTTTCAAGGGCAGCTTCATGCGACTCGGTAAGGGAGACAGATTGCTGTCTCTCTCCGTACTTATGAGATGATTGCAAGTCTGTTGGCAGAGGCAGTGTCTCAGTCACCGTTGCGAGTGCTTGCCTGGTTATTCTGTCGTATTCAAATGCAGGTCCATTGCTGCTCTGAATAATTATAACTTGACGCTACTACCTGTCATTTGGGCGCCTGGCCTGCGCCTCAGGTCTGGCATGACAATGATAAGCGACACTGTCAGATCTCCCTTGATGCATAGCCTGAGGGGCTGCTGGCCTAAATTTACTGGGTAATGGGAAATCCATCGGCTGCTTTGAAGGACAATCTTGACGCTAGAACTACATTCCCTGCGCCTTTACAGTCTACTGTGATCCATAGACATGCAGCTGTCATCTCCTGTGCTCACCGTTTGAATTGCATTCCTTGTCCTGAGATTCTAGATTCTGTAACATCCTCTAATGCGCTTAGAGCAGTAGGTGGCCATCTTAGCCAAACCCGACCGGTAATACTGAATGTTGGTCCACTAGGCAATAACCTAATTTGCAGATCTTGATCATCATTATAATAAGCATACAAGAAAACAGTGCCAGTGAGTGTGACATGTTTATCCCATCTGGCTGTTGTGATCTTCTTCACTGTTATGTCAACTGATATTGGATCGAGATACTCAGGACAAGTGCGGGGTAGCCCGGTAACACCAAGGCTGCCTTCCTTATTCAGGCTTCTGACCACAAGAAGACGGACAACAACGTCAGACCCATGCTTATTCTGATCTGTGTTACAGATTCAACTGCTTGTGATTTTACCAAGCATGTTTCCAACAGTAGCCAGGTTGCTTGGCTTAAAAGCGTTATCGCGTCCACACTATAGAAGCTTATCAAAAGATATATTTCGGCAGCATGCTCTTCCGCTCAATGCGGGCGGGTCTTAATCACACCAGCACACAGAAGATACAAACATTGTAAGAGTCTCTAACCTGAGCCAACCAGAAGTCACTGCTTAAGCCATACCTGCTGTACCAATGTTGTACATCACTGCTATCTGCATACATCTTATGGATGACCCATCCCTGCACAGTACCTGCATAACAAGGCAGATTCATATCCAGGAAGATGCGCAAGCTCCCGGGCCAGCAAAAGCACGATACGATTCGCCTACCAAACCTGGCCCGCTGTCTGAGGTTAACAATACGATCTGCCTCTTTTTCAGCCCCTCTGCCCCCAAGCCGCCCTCACAACACAACGACTTCCCAGCCTCCACGCATTAGGGGTCCAAGCTGACGAGATCGCTGGGAGTTGCACGATGTTTAGCTGGACCCTGAACACGTTCATCAACACAATCAACATAGCATAAATGTTACATTTCACCGTATATGAGAGAAGGATGACTTTTCATACAATCTTTTTCACCCTTCGTCGACAACATCGTCCCCGTCTCCTACAGATTCCTGCCAGGAAGAGGACTCTCGCATCGCGCCTTGGCCTAAAGCTTGGCAACCAAAGGCTATATCCAGGGGCACTCTCTGATAGCAGCCTCGGGCTTGCGTGGCTTCACCAGGAATTTGACGTGGGTTGTCTGATGCCAAGCAGCCTGCAGAGGTTGACCGCGTGGTTATTCCCCATATTCTTCTCGGCCTGCCCGTTCTCCGCCCAATTTACGGAGGGTTGGAGCCGATAAAGTCAATAGTTTGTGGGTGGAGAGAGGGTGTTGGCAGTTGAGTTCGTGTTAAACGATGAGCAGCCTACCGAGTTGTCTTTTGGCCAGAGAGCAGGGCCAGAAGGTCACTAAGGCATAGGGGGGAAGATAAAAGCCCCGAGGTGGGTGGAGATGGGGGAGACCGAAAGAAAAGCATCCAACCGAGACGTGGTTAGCTTGATTTTCCACCGGCGGGGACCAATCTCCCAGATACAGCAACCGTACCTTACTTCAAACCAACGCACTAACCGGGCTGCAGGGAGCGCTAAAACAAACCTAAGTTGAAGGATGGGGTCACACTACGCCTAACCGGGTATATTGTGAGGGGCACAGGCGTGGGAGTTATTTCCACGCATGCTCGCTCTCTCGTGCCATATCTGAGCTAGTTGCTACTAGAGGTCTGTTGAACTCATTGTTGACTCAATCTACCCCCGTAACTCACTAGTCGCCGTTGCCCTCTTGTCCAAGGCAGACTATTAGACCTTGGAGGGTAAGCTAATCCCCCGAACAACTCAGCTATTGACGTGGACTTGACCATCGGTGCGTGGTACGGGAAATGACTGTCCATGCTCCCAGCCTATTGAAGTACTCGAAGGGAGCACTAGCATTGAAGCATTGAAGTTTAAGCTCGAACTCACCTATCATTCGAATCAGGTTGCTTTGAGGATGGATGTAAACAGAGGGGCTGCATCCAACGTACAGTACTCGTAACTAGTTGTTGGAGCGGCACCCGAGACCCGAAGGGAAAACCTTAATCCGCGGTAGCATCATGCATTATTGTTTCAGGCACCGATGACATCGCTTTGGTCCTATCATCGTCTATCTGTGCCTGAATCACCGACCCCTCCCCTATCTACCGCACAAGCTTCTGTCTGTTGTTCCACCGACTGTCTCATGTGCCGGCGACAAGTCGACTGCTCTGCTTGAACGCATTTGCGTTGGCCCCATCCGGAGAAATGGACGGGCGACCAAACGGACGAATGATGAGCACTGTCAAGCGACGCTATCCCATCGTTCCGATTACCATATTACCGTAGCCTGCCAGTGCGTAGCCAAGATAGTTGTAGTCTTTGTAGTTAGTAATCGGAATCAAGTACGGATCAGAAGACGGCAAACGGACTTGCAATTCCCTAACCATTAGGATATTAACTCATAAGGTACTATCAGCTACACCAACCGAATCAATGGCCAGACATATTCGCAAAGAGGGTCGGTTGGTCATGTGGCTTGTGCTCGGTTCTGGTCCATTGCCAAGCGCAATGTTATGCCTCCTTTTTTTTTCTCTTCGTGAACAATAACGTTACCCTCTGCAGGTTGAAGAAATACTCCGAGACCAGTCCTGTTTCCCTCTCGCTGCAATAACCCACATGGTCAATGCGCATGGGTTGACTTACCTACCACTCTACTAACTGTTTGCTCATAGTATTCGATTGCCCGAGACTGTCTGGGCCTATTCGTCGTTTATTAAACCAATATCCAGCATATGGCATCATTCGTCCCGGTGCTCTCTCCCTCACCGCTAACTGACCTGCTTTACAATTGTTTCTTTCGCTGACTGGGCACCCTTCGTGACGGTCGTGTGCGATGCATATTCGCTGGCGCTGACCAACTCAATTCTGGTAACAGTGATAGTGAAACCAGTCAAGTAACTATTCGAGACCTTCTTGAGGAACCAGTTCCAAGATCTTAATTACCGAGGCATCAGATTGGCTCTGAACAGCCTTTCAGACAACAAGACTCATTAGTCCCACCGCCGATTGCTTGACTTGTGTACAGTTTCTAAATGAACAGCAGTGATTGTCCATCCCTGGCTGGTGCGCGGGTAAAGGGCGCGCTTCTCCGGAAACCTTGACAATACCCCTAGGATGAAACATGCAAGGGACCAGTCGTACATTGTGAAGAGAAGCCCGTGAAGCATCACGTTCCCATCACCTTGGGCCTGCGCGGTCTTCGGGGATGGGACTCCTCGTTCCCTCGTGGTCTTGCACAAGGCAAGTGGGCATGTTGAAGCATTGACTTGGACTCAAAAAGGACTAAGCAACGCAGAGCCACGTCCTGAAGTAAACCGTCAGCCCGATTCCATATTCATGATTGTAAACGACTGGGCCGGGTCGCCCAGCTCATCTTACAGACCGTCTCTTCCTCATCCCACTGTGTTACGGACGGAGGGCAAACATCCGGAGATAGCCAGCACTCGCGTCGGTGTACTTCTCACATGTGACTTGCTTGCTTTGAACAAGATTTTCGACACGTCATTGTGATCGCGTCTGTAGTTTCCCTTCCAACTCAGAAGTGACGAGGAGGACAGACCTTTGCTCATGTGATCTCTACAAGCATATGCAGTCACATGACCCAGGGAAACGATGTCTGACTAAGCGAGCTCGCCCACCGCCAAGACAGGCAATAAGTGGCTACCGCCTTCCCATCAATTTTTTTTTATCATTAGATTATCGCGGAAGTCGAGCCCTATCGAATTCTTGCAACATTTTTCATATCATCACCGCAAAAATGGGGTCTTCCACGGCTTTGACGACTAAGGCGACCTCCGGCACTCCCTACCAGCTCGACAAGAGCCAGGTACGTAACACCGCTCATGCACTATTGATACCTCACACAGCGGAGGGGAACTTCAATCCGCTAACGATGAACATCTGTAACAGGTCTCGCGAGCATCCGCAGCACTCCTGCGCCACATCAAGACGACGCAGCTGGAGCGGGAGAAGAACGCGACCAAGAAGACGCTGATCGGCGACAACGACGAGGAGTCCGATGGCGAGCAGGCCCCGCTCAACAACGAGGCCGTGTGGCTCGTCCTCACGACCAAGAAGCACGTGGTGGACAAGAATCGGCTGAAGCCCGGCAAGATCCTGATCCCCCACTCGCTCAACACCAAGTCCTCGCTCAGCGTCTGCCTGATCACCGCGGACCCTCAGCGCGCGGTCAAGAACATCGTCGCCGACCCGTCCTTCCCCCAGCCCCTGGCCGAGAGCATCGACAGGGTCATCGGATACACCAAGCTGAAGGCCCGCTACAACAGCTTCGAGAAATGCCGCCAGCTGCTCGCGGAGCACGACGTCTTCCTGGCCGACGACCGCATCATCATGCGCCTGGTCCAGACCCTCGGCAAGACCTTCTACAAGTCCAGCAAGCGGCCCATCCCCGTCCGCATCGCCGCGATTGAGAAGGTCGACGGCAAGCGGATCAAGAAGGACGCCAAGACGAAGCGGAACAAGGACGAAGGCAGCGCCTTCGCCGCCCCCGACATCGTCGCCAGGGAGATCGAGCGCGCGCTGCACTGCGCCCCCGTGCAGCTCGCCCCGGCGACCACGGCCGCCATCCGCATCGGTGCGTCCAACTTCACCGCCGAGCAGCTCGCCGAGAACATCGACGCCGTGGTCACGGGCCTGACGGAGAAGTACGTGACGAAGGGATGGCGCAACCTCAAGGCGATCCACATCAAGGGCGCCAACACCATGGCCATGCCCATCTGGCTGGCCAGCGAGCTGTGGCTTGAGGATGATGACGTCGTCGAGGAGGGTGCCGAGGAGACCAAGGCTGTTGCCGGCGGCAAGAAGCGCAAGCAGATCAGCGCGGGTGACGAGGAGAAGCAGCAGCAGATCGAGGCCCCGAAGAAGGCCAAGAAGGCCAAGGCCACTGAGGAGGACAACGAGGATGCCGTGACGCTGGCGGCGAGGAAAGAGAAGCTCCAGAAGCAGAAGGCTAAGGCGCTGGAAGATGGCGCGGCGCCTACGAAAACCGAGGCTAGCGCTGGCAAGAAGAAGAGAAAGTCGACCTCATAATTGTCCTATGCTTCGAACTCTCACTCAATCAAGTCTATACCTCCGGTGTTGTTTTGATTTCCACGGATTTGTATCTGAATAAGCAATGGGTTGTTCTTGTCTACCGGCGCTGTTATGCTGTTTTGCTTTGTCTCTTGCACTATCTAGATTTTTTTTTTCTATCATATCAGGGCGTGTACCTCAATACCCCTTGGACGAATAAAAAGCAAAAGTTCTGTACATGGTGTGGGAAGCCTACCTTACGGCGTAAAGGGAACTATGACATATGATTGAACTTGGACCGAGGAACTTGTACACAACACAGCCAAATGCTGCCCGTCAAGCTGGAAGTAACCGAACCAGCCGTCCGTCGGGTGATTTGGCCGGCGGCGGGATCGGCGATTGTGACTGACTGGCCGAAGCGGGCGGTCAAGCAGTTCTATCCGACGATAACCTTCAATTTCACCTTAAAGACTTCCCTTCCCATCCCACTCCCCACTTTTCCTTCCCCTCTCTCTGTCTCTGTCTCTGTCTCTCTCCTCCACCCCCCCATCCGCTCAATCAATTCTATCCTCTACAAGATGCTCCCTCTAACCAGAAACTCGGTGCTCCGCGCCGCCCGCGCGCAGATCCTCCCTTCCACGCGCACCAGCGCCGCCCTCTCCTCCGCCGCTCTTGCCCGCCTGCTCTCCACCCTCGCCGTGCTCGAACAGCGCGACGGCAAGATCCAGCCCTCCTCCCTGTCCGCCATTGCCGCGGCCCAGAAGCTCGGGGGCCCCATCACTGCCTTCGTGGCCGGCGCCAATGTGAAGGCGACCTCCGCGGCCGAAGCGGCCCAGATCAAGGGTCTGGACAAGGTCGTTGCGGTGGAGAACGAGGCCTACGAGAAGGTATGCCCACCCAGCTCCTGCTCAACTCCTCCGCTCTGGAAATTCCCTCCAATTCCATATTCCAAAATAGCAGCCGACACTTTAACCTAATTACATGCTAATCCGACCTCAAAAACAGGGCCTTCCCGAGAACTACGCCCCTCTGCTCGTCGAGAACATCCAGAAAGGCGAATACACGCACGTGGTCGCCGGCCACTCGGCCTTCGGCAAGAGTCTCCTGCCCCGCGTGGCGGCTCTGTTGGATGTGCAGCAGGTGTCCGATATCACTGGCATTGAGAGCGAGGATAGTACGTTTACTCCTGGTTTTATCTCCGCGCTGCAACATTCCCCTCATCTTGTCTCCGGTGTCGGAGTCACAACCTAACAAAAAACCCCCCCCCCCACCACCATCACCACCAACCTCCCCACAAAATCTAACGTCCAAGAACTAATCTTCCACAAAAAAAGCCTTCGTCCGCCCCATCTACGCCGGCAACGCCATCCTAACCGTGCAATCCAGCGACCCGATCAAGATCCTCACCGTGCGCGGCACCTCCTTCCAGGGCGTGGAGACGAGCGGCGGCGGCGCCGCCATCGAGGACGGCAGCGACCCCAAGGCCGCCCAGCAGACGGAGTGGGTGTCGGAGGAGCTGGCCAAGTCGGAGCGGCCGGACCTGGCGACGGCGCAGCGCGTCGTCTCCGGCGGGCGCGGCCTGAAGTCCAAGGAGGAGTTCGACCGCGTCATCGTGCCGCTGGCCGACACCCTGGGGGCGGCCATCGGCGCCTCGCGCGCCGCCGTCGACAGCGGCTTCGCCGACAACAGCCTGCAGGTCGGCCAGACGGGCAAGAACGTCGCCCCGCAGCTGTACCTGTGCGCGGGCATCTCGGGCGCCATCCAGCACTTGGCCGGTATGAAGGACAGCAAGGTCATCGCCGCCATCAACAAGGATGCCGACGCGCCCATCTTCCAGGTCGCCGATGTCGGGTTAGTCGGGGATTTGTTTGAGAAGGTGCCGGAGTTGACGGAGAAGTTGAAGAGTCAGGCTTAGTTTTTTTTGTGTCGGGTTGGTTTCGTTTTTATTGCATGGTGTCTGTCTGTCTTGTTGTGATGGCTTGAATATTTACTCTGTTGTTTATCCCCCCACCCTTGAAAATATTCGGGGTTGGCATTTGTTTTTTCTTTATTGGTTTTTCTGATGATAAGTTTTAGATGACATGGATTGTGATCGCGGGCAAGTGGAGGAAGTATATACCAATCGGAGCAGCATACTTTCATCTAACATTACGGCATACTCTGTGATTTTTATTTGTTAACACGAAGGCAGAGTAAGTAGTACCTTCGCTATAAGTATAGACTAGTACAGTGAAAGTCCCCCTGATCCCATAGCAATACCCATACAGAACTAAACTCCAGCCCCAACCTAACAACACTATATACCACACAAACAAACCACAAAACCCTCATTCAATCATTAACCCCCCCCATCCCTGCCTTCACCACCCCTACTCCCCCCCAGGAACCAGAACCGAGAAGCAGGTCTACAGATCCCCCAACAACTCCGCCAAGGAGATCGGCTTGCGCACCGCGTTCGAAAACCCATCATGGTACGTCACCCACACCCTTCGCCCACTCTTGGACATTTGTGTCTGCGCTGCCGCCTTCTTCTGTTGGACGTCGCCATCCTCGGCCAACCCCTGGGCCGTCGGCTTCTGGGCTATGATCCGTCCAAAGAAGTCGCGTTTCACCGCGACGCCATCCGCTGCTGCCGCGCCGGGTTTCTTGGTCGCGCCCGGGTGGGGTTTTTGGCCGCTGGATTTGGGGTGCGTGGGTTTGAGGCCGCCATCAGTTGATCTCTTCAGGGTGGTTTCTTTGCGGTATTCCTGGTCGAGGACTTGGCGGACGGCGTAGCGGACGGGGGCAGTGGCGGTGGTGGACGATGTGTTGGTCTGGGAGAAGGTGATGAGGGTGTCCAGGGGTCTGTTTTATCTTCAGGTTAGGTAGGGGGTTGGAGTTTGGGTGTGGGTTTTGGATTTAGAAGGAAGGAAAGGGAGAAAGGGTGAACAGGGGCAGAGGGGCAACGTACGGTTCCATTCGATACGCCCATCCACTGTGCGCACCGCCCGCGCCCTCGACGCGGACCTTCTCGAACCGCACGCCGAGACCGGACATGACGCGCACGGCGGCCTGGACGAGCGCGCGCTCGCTCTCCTTGCGCACGCTGGCTACGCTCCGCTGCTCGCCGCTGCCGCGCACGACGACGGGCTTCACGTCCGGAGAGAGCATCTTGATGAGGTTGGGGACGAGGTCGAGCACTAGCGACTCCGTGGACCGGAAGAGTCGACTCAGCGGCGCTGAGAACGAGGACTGGAACTCCGTCAGCAGGGCGCGGTTCTGCTTCTGAGCCTCGTAGGCGGCGAAGTCGGCGCGGGGCCCGGAGAATGGATGCTCTTCCTCCGCAGCGTCTTTGCCGGCATCCGTGGAGGTGGTTGTTGTTGTTGTTGCTCTGGCTTTGCCTGAGGTCGAGGCGAAGAGGTGGTGGAAGGCGAGGACGGGCTGGCTGAGGTAGGCGCTCAGTTCCCAGTCCTGGTGGGAGAAGATCTTAGAGGAGATGGTGTCGTGGAAGTGCAGCCATTCGTAGGCCGTGTTGGGTTTGGAGAGGAAGGTGTCGTCTTGATAGGTCTGTAGGGGGTACGAGGAGAAGCACTCGGACATGCAGCGGTCGTGCTCGCCGCTGGCGTCGACCATCTCGCGCAGGCGGTTGATGGCATGGCGCTTGCGCAGGTCTGCCACGCCGACGGGCACTCTGGCCGAGTCGTCGTAGGGGTCCCGGAAGGAATCAGCGCCCACGGGGGCATCGGCGAACCCAGCGCCTTCGGTAAAGACTCGGTCCACGAGGTCTCGTACACCACCGCGGTTCAGGCCCTTGAAGAACGTTCCGCCACCGGTCTTGTCGCTGAGGACTTTCTGCTCCAGCCAACTGCGCGTCAGCCTCAGCGTGGATGGACACTCGCTGCGGAGCTTGTGAGCCACCCACTCGGCTGCGACAAGCACACTTCGAATGTCGCCTTCGGCCGTTCCGCTGCTTTTGACGCCCATCTGCTTCCTTCTGGCAATGCCCCAGGATGCCTCGCAGAGACGCCGAACGCCATCGTTATCTGCCGGGATGCCCTCGATGGAGAAAACTCGCTTCATCCGCGCAACGACATTCTCTATTGGCGCTTGACGCACATGGATGATTTCAGCGATAGCAGCCGTCCGCAGCGGTCGTAGACTAGGGTGATAGACATCATTGCAGACCAGGATTAGAGGCCGCAGAAAGCGGAAGTTGTCGCCCTTCTTCTTCTTGCCAGTGGTCGACGTCTTCTCAGCCTTCCGTGCCGAGTTCTTCTGATCCAGCATCACCAGATCAATTAGGGCCTTCATGAAGCCACCTTCACCACTGCCCCCGGATCCGCTCACGACACCGTCCACTTCATCTACGACCACGCACACCGGCCGTCCCGCCTTGCGCACCTTGTCCTCCCCAACTTCCACATTCATTCCTTTGACGTTCTCCGTTCCAAGGGAGTCCCGGATTCGACCCTTGACGACATCTCGGCTCCGGTCGTCACTAGCGTTGATCTCGAGAACCTCGTAGCCCGCCTGTCGAGCGCAGACATGCGCGAGAGTGGTCTTCCCCAATCCCGGAGGGCCGCACAGGAGCAAGACCTTGCGGTGAGCTGGCTCCTCGTCCTCGTTGTTGTCCTTGCGCATCGGTTTCTTGGCCTTCGACCGGCCCAGGTTCGGGAAGACAATCGGCTCCCAGCCTTTCAGCCACCGCAAGACGTGTCGGTGGGTGCGCTCATCGCCGATCAGCTCCGTGAACTTGCGTGCGCGGTACTTCTCCGTCCACATCGCCTTGGCGTGTTTACTGGCCTTGCTGTTGTGGCCCGCGTCAAGCGGGGGTTCGATGGACGGTTGTATCGTAGAGGAGGGGCGTGGTCTCGCCGCATTCGAAGCACGATCTTCCTCCTCCTTCGCAGCTTCGTCCAAGAGCCGATGAATCTCAATACCATAGTAAGCTTTCTGGGCTCGACCCGGGGCCGGAGTCGAACGACCGGCCACGAGTCTTTCGTACGACACCCTACTCGCCGGCTTCTTCAAAGCAACTTGATGCGTCTTGCCGGAGCAGGTCTTGATCTGGATCGACCTCGTCGGCCTGCGCGAGGGTAGCGACATGGTCGTCGGCATTGAGCTGCTCGGCTCCTCCAGCGCCGGCGGGGGGATCTGCGCCGGCCTCGGAATGGGAGGCAGGTCGACGAGCGGCTGCTCGATGAGTTGCTCCTGCATCATAAACTGACTCTTGAATTGCGCATCATGCAGCGCCTCCAACTCATCCTCATCGTTGTTGTCATCGTCATCATCATCATCCAGAAACCCGCCCATGACTTTCAGTTTCTTAGGCTCCGCAGCCGCAACCGAATGCGTCGGCTGCTCCGGGGGCTTCGACAGCGACGCCGTCCCAGGAAGAGTAACCCACTCGTCCACCCCATCACCACCAGCATTCATCTGCGCATCCCGAAAGGCCTCCATCCCATCCTCATCCTCATCCTCATCCTCACCGTCCAAAAACCCACCCATCATCTTCGGCCTCTTAACTTCAGCAGCAAAGTTCCCCCCTTCCTCAACCTTCCGCTTATGCGTCTCCGAGACCCCTGCCTCCCCGGCACCCCCACTACTACCAGCTGCAGGCGACGAGATAAACGGCATCCTCAAAACACTCGGCGGCGACGACGGCAACCAAGCCAACGAACGAACCGGCGAATCGATCTGGTGCTTTCTATGCTTGTTTTTCGTCGGGGTGTTGTCTGTTTATCGCGCAAACCTCGTTTATCAATCCCAGCTATTTCTTTCCCACAATGTGCTTCTTAATGATATCCAATGCCCCCCGCCACAAAAGCTCAAAAGAAATGATGGGAAAAAGTACCAGGCCTTAGATCTTCGTCACTTCGGAACACATCCGAGAGATTCCACGCGCGATGCTGGATCACGACCCGGTTGTGCGCGCGCTCCTGCCGCTGCAGGTCGAAGGCTTCGAGGTCGTCGGAGAAGGTTTGCGAGAGGGGGTTTGCGTTTGCGCTCGCGTTTGGGAGGAATTGTTGGTCGGAGTGGTCGAAGTCGAGGAGGGCCGGGTCCGTGTCGAGGTTGATGGTTGGGTCGAAGGAGGGGGGGATCGAGGGGGACGAAGAAGTCGTCATCTAAATTTGTGGTGGAATCGTGCAGAATGGAGGAAAAAGAATGCGTGACAGAAAGTGAGTCTGCCGTGGTGGGACTTGTGATGCCGCCGCTATGCTATCTCCATCCAATTCAATGAGGGGCGTGGTGTCGCCCAAGGGAGAATCTAGAGTTGATGTGGACTGCAAGACGCGTGGGGGGGAGGACGCGACGGGAACGCGCTAGTCCATATCGGGGATGATGGAGTTGGTGAGTTTATGAGCTCGGGGACTGAACTTAAGTATAGGTGTAGTTCCAGTTTGAGATCGAATTCTTTACTGAAGTTAAGGGTGATGGACAACTCTAGTGCTGTAATAATCCAACAAAGGAGAACAGAGAATCAAGCTTGTAAAGGTACTAAAGGCTTGAAGTTGGATATAACATCCTCTGGCCGCACCCTTCTATCAACAATACACACAAGCGTACAATATGAGACAGAGAGCACTAATCTTGCCAGTTCGCATAATAGTCACAAATCAGTAATCTATCTCTATTCCATGTCGTCTCTCTCTTCCGGACTTGCTAAATAACCAACCATAACACAAGAAAACATACAAGTACAGTGATTTTAGATACAGGTACTCAACAGAAAATAGAAAAAAAAGAGGGAGAGAAGGAGATGGTCCGTGATGCGGGTTCGTAAAAGGCAAATGACCAAAGAAGTTACAATGTCCAGTCCCAACAGCAATCACCAATACACGGAATGGCGTGAATGACTGGCTGACAAGGCCGGCGCCCACAAGAAGAGAACGAGAACAACGAGGCGAGGGTGGGGGTATGAGATATAGAAACACATTCATATATTGATACACACAGCGCAGTCCCGCTTACCGCATACGCCCCCTTCTTGGTATCGGTTCAATCCACAACTAGCCTTTGTCTCTCCTGCAACTTCAATTCGTGATCTCGCATGATAACAGACTCGTTGACACGGTTGCTTAGTTCTTGGTCTGCTCGGGGGCCTCGTTCTTGGCCTCCGTGTCGTGCCACGACTTGGGGATCAGCTCGTTGCTCTCAGGGAGCTCGCCCTTCTCCGCAAGCTGCGACTTGGTCTCGGCGTTGACCTCGTGTGCGCGGGCGTGCTTCTCGTCGGGGGTGGAGGAAGCATCAATCTGAGCAGCGCTCACGGGCTGCTCATCGCCAGGAGCGGCGGGGGCAACTTGACCCTCAGCGGCGGCCTCGTCGTCTTCCAGCTCGGCACCGTAGACCTCAGGATATTGTCTGAAGCAGTTTTGCATAGCCCTAAAGGGAGTAACTGTTAGCGGCGCTCTAGGATCCGACAGGCGGAGGATTTCCGTACTGGAACTTGTCAATGCAGTCAATACCCTTAGGCTCCTCAGTGGAGAAGACAAAGCAGCTGAAAGCGGCCTTGAAGTCCTCTCCGCAAGGTCCGTGGGCCATGCCGCCGAGGCAGGGGCAGTCCCAGTTGATCTCGCCGGTCTCCTCATTGAAAGCAGCTTCGTGGCCGGCTTGTTCCTCAAGTTCCGCAGGGTCGATCTGAGTGGGTTCGGAAGGTGGCTGAGGCGCAGCAGGCGTGATACTGGGGGTGGGGGTGGCAGCGGGAGCCTTCTGCTCACGGATCTTAGGCTTCACGGAGTCGAGGGTCGGGAGCGATTCTTCGGCGACAGCATCTGGCTGCGGTTGGGAGCGGAAGGAGACTAGATGCAGGTTGTCAGTCAACTTCATTCGCTTTTCGGGTGTCTTTTGGTCTTTCTCCAAGGTGACGACATAGCTCTGATCCCGGAACGATGACCAAGCTTCGGGAGGAAAATGTCGGAACAGCGGACAATACGTACATTTCGGGTCTTGCGCGAAAACAGGGCTAGTGTTGTAGTAGTAGATTGCGCCAGCAGCCAAACCCAGACGCACGACGCCTCCCTTCCAGCTTCTCGACTTCTTGTCAACGGGAGAAGTGCTTATCAATCGTCTGCTGGCCGGGCCACGGACTGGGACAGCCGGCGCGCGGAGGACGACTCGAGCTGCGGAGCGGAACATGATGGGAATCAGGGGGAAGGATATCAATTGAAGAGTGGAGTAGAGGGTGGTATTAAAAGAAGGGTAGAGGCATCAATGCCCGACGAAAGCGACGCTGAATGAGGTGGAAATAGACAGTCAATGGATTGGAAATCCAGTGCGAACTGCGGAGAAGAATGGGCGGAAGGTTGGCAATATCGACACCTCAGGCATTACGCTTACCGCTTTCAGAGAGGGGCTAGTCACGCTGGCACAGCCAATCATATTGCATCATAGTTACTCTGTACTTCAACGAGGCGTGTGCTTAGTATAGATGGCAGAGTCCTTTAGAGTAAAGGATGTATGTCTTTCCACTTATAGTACTCATTCATGTAGTCGAAGAGGAAGTGCTAAATGATCAGGCATTTCTCGGTCAGTATATGCTGTATAAACAGCCTTACATCCAGCGCTAGATGAGGGATGCCCAAGGCCACCAGAGCATCCTCTGCAGATTCAACCATATGTTTCTCGGTTTGATTCTCACATTCTCTTAAGGTACGAATGTGCGGCTGATATCCATAGAATATGACCTAACAGTAAGGCTGGAAGACTTCAATCTATAGGACGGAAGGGCCGCATGATTGGTTACTGATGCACCAGATGCGCTAAACCTAGAATGGTCACTTATCGCGATGTCTCCACCAGGCACGAGGATGGCCATGGCTATGCTGTAAGCCTTCACGGGAGCAGAAAAAGATTTAGAAGCGATGAAAGAGAAATAAAAGGTCTAACTGAAGATGGCATTAGTATATATGACCAAGTCGAGCACTCGACCTTTGTGTATTCGCCTTGTCTTCTCCTCATTTCCCTGCTCTATACTTCCATCCATTCTTTATACTTCACTGTGCTTGCTGTGACCTAGTTGACTTTCCATATGGCTGACTATAATTCTGGTGTCGCCATAATCTCTCCAGAGAAGCGTTATATCGCCATTGTCGAGGTTGTCCTATTCTCGATCATCCAGCTGGTCCAATTCCTCATGAGGTACAATCAGGAATGGCGCTACTGGCACCATAGGAAGCAGAAACACCCTGCACGGTGCTTCCTGTACTCATGGTGGGGGCTGCTGGGTATATTATCCCAGAGTATGTACACCACAGTGTACTAATAGCATGCACTAATCTCCGTCAATTCAGTCCGAATCGCCGACTCGGCCATGGTGATCTCCAATCGCCATCCAAACAAGTCAATGCTCATAGCAGAATCCGTTCTGCAGAGTATTGGGCTCTCGCCTCTCTTGTTTGAAGTGAGTCTCGTTCTTTTGCGAAGGTAAGTCGAAAGAGCCGGACCAACCATTGGAGTTAGACACGACTGACATCGAATCCCGATCTAAAGTGGACAAGCAGGTCGCACCGGCCCCGGAAACTCCCGCTACCCCAAACATGTCCGCTTCCTCCTCCACTTCTTTCGCTTCCCGGTCATAATTTCAATTGTCCTGGTAGTAGTTGGAGATTGCATCGGAATCCCTGGTTGTATGTATGCTGGAGGAGCAGTGTTTGCCGCCACTTTCTGTTTCGTGTGTGGTCTGGTGAGCTGGCTGGCGGTGACATACCGTTCCGTCCTCTCACCAGCCGGACATAGTTGTGTGTTGATAGTGCTGGGTGCTCTTCCTTTTCTGGTGGTTCGCGTGGTTTACTTCCTGCTAGCGGGGTTTGGTCCACGGAAGTTTAGCCCCATCGACGGCAGTGAGGGTGTTATGGTGGGCATGGGACTGGTGATGGAGGTCCTCATTATCATAATCTTGCTGCTAGCTCGTGCCGTAGCGGAGCCCCTCTGGCCGGCGAAGGGAAGCCCAACCGATCCAGAGGTCTGAGCCTATAGATTTGGCTGCTGTTTCTGTGGTCAGTCACGGATAGATAATCATAGTCTATGTATCATTGTCATATTGTGTTGTGATCATCCGAAGTTCTGTGGACGCACGGCCGCGTACACTTTCGAGAGCCTTTCCAGACAACCTTCAATCCAAGCCCTCGTAGCGGGATCCGCAACTTCATAGGCCACCCTCAAAGGGAATCCCATGCGATATGGTCCAAGCAGTCCTCGAGCATTGTACTCAACCGACTTGCAAATCTGGTCTCGGAAATAGACAACGGCGGCGGCGTGATCGCCAGGATAACCGCAGACCCTCAGTATCTCGTGTATGATCACCATGTAGGAGTAAAACCCGCAGAGAATAGATGCGACGCTCTCATCCGAGTACTCTAGCACAGTAGAATAGTACATATCCCCTGACGTAGATCGAGTCTCAATCGGCATTGGCGTGACTGCAGAAACGTCGGCGAGCCATGCGGATAATTTACTCTGCATGGCTAAAGCTTGAACGAGCAAATCACCCGCTTTGGTGACAGTATCTGGGTTAGTGAAATCTGCATCTCTGAGGTCGTAAAATTGATGCACAAGACCAGGTGCAGAGGTGAAGTACGCGAAGAACTGTTCGACCTGGTTCGCAAGATCGGCACCCAAGCCGACATTGGGGTGCTGCATCATCACGGTGTGCCATTCTTCCGAGGCTAGGAAGCAGCGCTGCCCGGAGAAGAGAGAGTACATAACTATCAGACCTCGAGCAGCTTTGAGAAGCACATGATCGAACTCGGTGGTGCAGCGAGCTGCCCCTCGTTGCTCCACCAGTTGACTCAATCCTTTGGCATGTTTCATCCAGGCATCTGCGTCATGGACATTTGTGAACAGCTTATGTTCATTAGAGCCGGTTCTGATAAAAAGACATGATTCACGCGACTCACCTCGTACAGACAAAGAAGCATTACAGCACAGAACACCTCGGGCGAGTAACATTCCCGGGAGTTGCCCACCGAGGTTCGCAGTCGGTACAAAGACTCAATGTAAAGCTGCCTCGCATACTGCACCGCTTGTGAATCACTCATCAGGTTGCCCATCTGATGAGCTGTAAAGGATTTTATCGTCAAGTCCAAGGTCCTATTGCGTCCGTACACTGAAGGCAGAAACCCGAACCAGCGAGAAGTAACATGCGCCGAGTTCGCAGCGAATGGCTTGGAGATCTCCTGAGCCATGATTCCGAGGCACTGACCCAAATTCATCTCAGCCGAAGCAATGGATGAAAGGGTGTACAGCGAATTTGTACGTTGCCGCAGAGGCTGGGATTGAACTAAAGCGAGTGACTCGGTAGGTGAGCCATCCTGGTCAGAACCTGACTTTCGCCGACGTTGAGTACGATATGGCTTTCCAGCAATGAATTTGAAGCGAGGACCATAGCCAGGGCACGGTTCTCCATAGGTTTCGCATTTCGCACATCCAGGTTGTCGTTGATCGCACTGCCACAGTCAGTAGATATGGTTTAGATCTTAAGTAAGATGGACTAACCTTGACTCGCCGTTGCACGCAGAGTGCACAGCCCTTGCTGCGGGCTACCATAGTCGGATATCACCTGCGATGCTCATTGTAAGCAGATGGTGAGATACTCAAGTGCAAGTCTGCTGATATAGTAGATCGATGCCGGGGGTGAATACGAGAAGCGGAGAGCCAATGATAACCGAGGGCTGCTGTCGTCAGTACTAACTAAGTAAATTTAGTCAGCCTTCCGTCAGCCTCTGCTTGCTCCAGCCACACCCCGCGAATCGGCGGCCATGTGGCTGTGGCTGAAGAGGGAGGGGTTTAACTTATCAGTGATCAGTTGAGATCATTCCAGATCAGACCATCGATCGACATTAAGTACTACACACAGTACCTTTTAGTATACGGACTGAAGATGCTCTTGTGACCAAGTACCTTATACACCGAGTCTACACCTCCACCATCAACAACAACGACTCAAACCCAGACCCAAATCTCAGGGCCCGGCTCCAAAAATCGCATCTGATAATGCCCGCCGCGGTTGATATCCCACTCCCCAGAACAATCTCCCATCAAAAAGAACAAGACGATACCATGGACCTCCCCTACCGACTCAAAAACTCAATGACAGTGACAGAGTGGGATCCCACGCAATTCTTTCGCGAGGGATACCCTTCCTCCCCTTATGCCCTGTTGATCCTCAACCATCCAATCAACGAAAAGGCCTACGATGTTCTCCAGCGACATGGTGAGTACTTAACCACTGTTTGCTCCTTGAAGCCACCCACCCTACCCCTGCAGCACAAACATTCAAGCTATAATACATACCCCTGGCTAACAAATCGCAGCATGTATCACGGTCTGCGCCGACGGCGGCGCAAACCGATTTTACGAGATGATGAAGGCCCGCGGGAGGGAGTCTACAGATGTGAGTACCGTACATCCACGAGTACATACATCTCTCAACACTCTCCCATCCCGGCTATTAAAAAGGCCAAGAAACATCCCAACCTTCCCCTACTCTCCATCTCTCTTTCTCACCACCCAGAAGAAAAACTAAAACCTGCACAGTTCCCCAGCGCCATAATCGGCGACCTCGACTCCATCCACCCGGAGATCCGCACGCACTACGAAACCCTGGGCGTCCCCGTCATCCAACACATCGACGACTACAGCACGGACTTCCACAAGAGCCTGCAGTATATCCAAAGGAACACGGCGACTATTCTTGCCGCGGCGGCAGCACCAACCCCATCATCATCATCCACACCACCACCACCACCACCACCATCAAATTCAGCTACCACCACAAAACCCACCTCTACCTCCATCTCCCACTCTCAACATCCACCTAAATCCCTCGAAATCCTCGTCCTAGGCGGGCTAGGCGGCCGCGTCGACCAAGCCTTCTCCCAGATCCACCATCTCTTCTACATGACGCAGGAGCTCAGAGCCACCACTGCCACCAGCAGCTCCGACTCCAGCACGGATGAACCCCAATCCCAACCCCAAGGGCACCAGAACCCCGGACCAAACCTCTACCTCATCTCCGAAGAGAGTATCACATTCATCCTGCGCCCCGGCCGGAATATCGTGCAGACGCCGCTGGTGAATCGCCCTGCGCCTGCCCCAACATCTAACCATGACGATGACGATGACGATAACGCAGACCAGAAAATAATCCCCGAGGTGCAGAGCAGCACCACCACCACCACCACTACCACGACGGCGGAAACCCATCTCCTCGAGGAAAACGTCGGGATCATCCCGCTCCTGGGCCCGGCGCGGATCACCACCGCCGGGTTCCAGTGGGATGTGCGGGACTGGAGGACGGAGATTGGAGGCCAGCTGAGCACGAGCAATCACATTCGGGCGGATATGGTCGAGGTCGAGGCCAAGATGCCGGTGCTGTTGACATTGGAGCTGGCGGAGCGGTTCAAGAAGAAATGAGTACCCTTTTACTCTTCCCGGGGTCGGTGAGGGTTGAGGGCTCAGGCTTGGTTGGTTCTAGCTTCGCACTTATTATAGAGCTTTAAGGTTAGATGACATATATAATGTTTTGATTGCAGGTATGGTCATTCCCTATGTACCAACTCACGACTCGATTGTTCAAGACTCTTGTTCGATTGCTACGTCACATTTAGAAGATAGAGATATATCACATCCAAAAAAGAAAGCAAGAAAAAACAGTAATTCCTGAAAACCAAGAAGCGCCTTCTGACTAGCAGTTAAAAGCAACCCAAAGTGAAGTGAGAGGGAATATCCCTAGACTTCATAGAACATGCAGCAGCAACAACGACACCCTGCTGAGTGCGCCAGACATCAACCCGAAACACAAAACATAACAAGAAGACACAATACGCCCCAAGACAATCCTGCATAGCATTCACAGAAGCAAGCCGAAATACACCAAAGCAGACTCAAACCAGCTCCACGAATTGATCCATCGGTCCCGCCAGTTTCTCTCTCTAAGATTGATGATATCTTTTTCTTTTCTTTCTGGACCTGCCATTGTACAAAATTTCCACCCACGCCCGGAACCAGCTGTCTTGGCTGCCGGAACAGCCAAAGAAATTATTGAATGTTCCCACAGTACCTGAGCACAGGTCGAATTCACTTCCAGAACACCAACCCCAGAAATGCCAAGACTTGGTCATTCGGCGCGAGCCGAACAGAGCAAGCTTATGTCATTGACTGAGTACGTAGACAAGACATGTCTACTTCTGCAGGATAGCTTCATAGAGGGTCGTAAGCACACCGATCGCCGAACCGGTGATGACTCCGGGCCAGCGACCCGGAATAGCATTGTTGATGTCCTCGACGGCGATATCATTGAAGAAGCCCCAGTAAGAGAACTTGCCGGTGTAAACTAGGTACGCGATGAGCGCCTTGGCAATGTGGAAGCTCAGGGGGTCGAAGCTGGCGAGCTGCGCGCCCGCTGCCGCCCGTTGACGCCGAGTATTGGCTGCCGGACCACCGTTCTGAGCCGCCTGCAAGCTGATGTTGAAGAAATACGCGACGGTCAAGGGAATGACCAGACTAGTAAAGAGCCACCCGAGAAAAGCAGTCCAGAAAGAGCTTTCGACCAAGACGAAGGCGTCAGGAGCCGAGATCTCGAAAGCCGGTGAATGGATCGCTTCGACAGCGGGGATGCGGGTCAACAGTCTCAGGGGGAAGAGTAATCGCAAGACACCAAAGCTTTCGATCCCATGCAGTAATACAGCAATTGCCTTGACGCTGCTCAGGTTGGCGCGCAGCGAATCCGACTGCTCCTGCACTCCCAACGCGTTCCAAATGTCCTTGAGGTTTTTGCCCCACGCCGCCGTTTGGCGATCGATCACATCGGTCACCACAGCGGGGGAGGGCGGGAGCGCCACCGCCAATGATGACAATGGGGGCTCAACACTCACCAGCATTTGGGCGGGAGTTTGGGGAGCATCGGAGTCATCCCTGTTGTGAGGATCGCAAATCAGCCCGGGTCCGCGATGACGTAAACATCGAGTATCGCACGCGCAAACGAGATCCATGCAAAGCCGAAGTCGCAGGGTGCGGACGAACACGACAAACGAAACAAGGGGGAACTTACGTTTGCACCAATTCCACCTTGGATCTGGAACTCCTCTTGCGCGTTGACTTGGGGGCTTCGTCTGCCGACGGAGTGCCTTCCACCTTGGGTGCTCTCTTGGTCGGCGATGTCTTGACAGGCGAATTCTTGGCCGGTGAGAAAATGCGCGGAGATCCTGACAGACGCCTGTAATAATCTCCTAGGCGCGCATCATCGATGAAGATGGACTGGTGAGCTTGAAGGTGCGAGTCCAGCGCCGAGGCGAGCTCGGGCTTGGTCAGATCCTCATAGCTATAGATGGTCAGGTCCTCGAGCCAACTGGCCGGGCGGAAGCGCAGAGGAGATTTGCGAGTCAAAACAGAAGCTTACTTCTGAAGGTCAGTGATATGAGCCCATTCCGTGAGGGTGGGCTTGCGCTGCTTCTGCAGATAAGGCAATCCGGCGGACATGATGACGCGCGCAAGTTGCGGTGGATCATGCGACAATTGATACGGAGCAAGGGAGGGGTTGCTCTAGGACGAGGTTGACTTTTTGAAGAATTAGAAGTCGCGTGGGAATGAGTAGATTATTATCCAAGCGGGTTCAGAAACGCGATGCGTTGAAAGCTGGAAGAAAGAAGAGGGACGTGCAGCGGTGGAGGGGAAGAGGAGGAACAAGAGGAACGAAGAACAAGGAGCCTGAAAGTAAACAGAGGGTCTGGAGCCAATCTGATGTGGGGCTGACCGCATTCGGGTCTGGGGGAGGCTTTGTTTACACCACAGCAATACCCATGGGGGGATCGCCCACTACCTTACACGCTTTCCCAGTTCCCATTCTTCCCCTCATCTCCCTCCTCCTCTTCTTCCTCTCTTATCGCTTCCCCCTCATAGTAAACAAACTACCCAAACCATAATTCATAAGTATACTACCTTAACTATCAACAATCAAAGTAAAATTATCGAACCATGTCTATTTCTTTAGTAGTCTATGTAGTTAGTTCGTTCTTGGTCTTTGTATACACACAACGTGACGGAGACAGTGAATCCCATGTCCTCTCATGCAATCAATCATGCCATCAGAAATCAAAAGGGACAAACACAAGAGGGCGGCGACCGTAGGGAAATGGAGGGAGATGCTCTATGATAATAAAACAACGGGATAAGAAAAGGGGTGATAAAAGAACACACAAGAAAAAGAAAAAAAGAAAATTCGGTCATGCCACACCCCTCCGACTGCCGGAACGCCCTCCCAATAAAACCCGTCTAGGCTGCATCAATATGCTCCGGTTTCCTTCCATCCTTCTATCTACAATGAACATCATCAACATGTCCAACCTCAACCACTCTCATCCCGCAGCTAGAGGGGGTTGAGCTCCCCTTTGTTCTCCCAGTCCTCGAACTTTTTCAGGAGATATTGATACATCACCAACATCGTTCCACTTTGAATGCTGGTCCATACACCACGGGGTCCAACACCACGGAACCAGCCTGCCAGCCCTTCCGTTTGGTAGATCATCTTCAAGCCAGTGAAGAACGATGACGTATCCAAGCGCGGAGCGCCAGGCGGGTTCACCGACGTGGAAGCTCCCGAGGTGGAGATTGGGCGCGCATGCGTGCGCAGGCTCGACGTCGTCTGCGAAGCCGCGTGGTAGCGCGGTCCCTCTTTGGTCGACGTGTGCTCCGCCGCCGAGTGCGACGAGGAGCCCGAAGGACGACTCGAAGGCGTGGACTCGGGGTTCTGCTGGGTCTGGATACGTGTCTTGACCACGTCCATCGGGCATGTCAACACACCCGCCATCCCACCCGCAGTGACAGCCGTCAGGATCTCAAGGCTCAGCCCAATTTCTCGAGAGCCCACCCATTCTTTGGCCATCCGCTGCTCTTGCTCGTAAAAGGCGAACTGAAGGGCGGAAAAGGGAAGATCGCGGTAGATCGTCGCCCGGTATCCGTAGTAAAGCGCGGAAAATCCTTCCTGGCGAATGATGGTGCGCAGCGCATCCCTGGTCGAGCGGTAATTATATCCCGAGTTGAAATGAGGGTTATTGTAGCGTCCTTGGAGCTGCAACCGAGTCTTCAAGACTTCCGAGGGAACATAGACAATAGAGGCGGCCAAGTCCGCAAAGAAGCCTACAAGCCCATTTCCGATTAGCACCGAAATGCGACCGCAGATGACGGAGCCGCACGAAACACACTTACCTCCAGAAAGATACGCCACGTTCGCATTGATTCCCGCATCGAGCATGAGACGTTTTGTGTATTCGTAGGTGCCAAAGAAGATAACGGTGCCGGGGAAGGAGCCGAGAAGCGCAGGGGCCACTCCGCCATACAGACCGCGGAAAAGGCCTTCTTGTCGGTAGATGGTCGCATAGGACGAAGTCATGGAGGTGTACTTGGGAGGAAAATGCGGATCGCCCTGTTGCCGCGTCTTGACGGTGTCTAACGAGTGCATGAGCATGTCACCGCAGGTGCCACCAATACCTCCAGCGAACATTGCCTATAGGTCGAATTTGATAATTAGCCCAACATCCGTGAATGGAGACGGGTTGTGCGCCATCAAGTGTACGCGCGGCATCATAGTATAGATGGCGAAGGCAAGCTACATACGTGTAGGTACGGTGGACGAGGCTCCTCTTCCTCGTCATGGTGAGACTCTGCATTCTGTACATGATGTTCCTTGTTCGCGCTTATCGGCGTCGTCTGACGGAGATCGGTCGGGCCATTTTGAGAAAGAGATCTCGGCGCGGGAGAGTCTGACGGAGGTGTCTCTGTCGTCGCAAAGAAGCCCAAGACACGCGAAGTCAAGCTCATTGCAAGGAGACCGCAACCCACCGGATCGTGGTGCGGGCCAAACCACGGAGGTTGGGATGCGGCGACGGTGGATTAACAAGAGCACGCCACCTCGAACCACGAGGGGACGGCAGATTAGGTGGGAAATATATAGGAGCGAGGATACAATAAAATGCGAGAATAATCAACCCTGGGGAAAGGGGGCTAATAAGCAGGGGACATCACAGCTTGAAAGTGACGAAAGCCCGACTGCCCGAAACCCCAAAATTTCGTCGGCCTATCGTCGGTTTGTAGTTTTCTCCGCTGCCCGGGGCCGTGTTGCCGCCTCAGGCAACAAACAATCCTGTTATCGATCGCTTTCTTGGTTGGCAAATACACGGTGGGCATTTCTAAATGGTGATCAAACAGATACTTACTTACAGTATGTAATACTACGCGGCTGGCATTTTCTTCTGTCGCTAAGAAAATTGCGCAACCACAGCCATAGAGCTTCTGGGTAAACAATCTCCGCGCTGCTCATAGACAGTAAGTCAAAGATTCGTATTGGGAAAGAGGCAAAGCTAATCGCATCAATCGCATCACTGTCGCATCGCAGAAAAAACAAAGTATATAAGGAATATGGCCCCTTCCTCTCAAGCAGGAGCACTAGACATTGCGTATCAGAACCTCACCCACTCGCTGTCTTGCGAGCAGGTCCAAAGCCACTCGTGCTTCTGCTCATAAAGAGGCTAC